GAAATATTAGAATATTGGTGTAATTATTGAATAGATATGGTGCAGTAAGGAAGCCGAAGCCGACATAAGGAGGGTGTGTTGTTGTGACTGAGAATCCTAAGCACTATAGTTACATCTTTAACAATTAAATCTCTTAGAGAGTAACTGGAATAGTAGTAGAATCAAAGTGATTGTTAGTTATAATTGACAATGCTACAGGGACAATATATTTTCTCATTTATGAAGAAGGTACCGGTGGAAAGCTACTGTTGAGTGAATGAAGGCATACATGTTGATTGTACAAGAGATTGACTTTGTGTGTGACGCAGATTATACAGAGAAAACACAGTCTGAGGAACATGAACAAAATAGAAACGAAAGTAGGGCGATATTAATATTGGTCCCCTCATATGAGGCACGGATGATGTTGAAAGAAAGAAATGTGTGACAAACACAATTGTCCAAATTAAAGAAAGGAGGACTTCTTTTTGCTATGAAATGTTTGAAGCCACAGAAGCAAAATAACTGCTACATGAAAGTGCTTATGGAAACATTATGTAAAAGGAAATAAAGGGTACTAAATGGAACAAAAGCAAGGCAGAAAGATAACATGAATGATCGATAACTGTGTGTTTAATAGAGAGAGATCGAAATGAAGAACATTATATGTCCACCTGCCAACTTGTCCCTTACTGAACCTATTTTGAACTTTACACCAATAATTGCTGTGATCATAGAAAATAAGAGTCAAAAAAAGATCCACCAGAAGCAGAATTGTTGTGATGTGATTTGGTAGAGAGGGAGGAATAAAGAAATGTGTCGGGAGAATAGGAATTATGTGAGACCATAATAAACATAATATTTTAGAGGACCAAGTTCTTAGTGCTTTTTAGGTTGTATTTAACCTTATATTATATATCATATAACCAAGGAATTGGAATTGAAGAAAAAGGAAGGATTTTTATACATTTTCTTTCTAAAACTCACGAAAAGCTAGATTCCCGGTGAGAGAAAAAGATTGACTATGTACAATGATTAACATAATACTCACAGTGTGTGCTTGCAAGTAAAATGGATTAAATTAAATCATTCACTATGTGCATATGTTTGCTTCTTTTTAATTATAATTTAGCCCCCAATATTTTTTATATCATCTTTATTAGTCACATTATTGTTTTGAGTTTAAATTATTTATTAGAGTTTAACATTATTTATCATTTTTAGAAATTGAAATGGGTCTGAGAATATTTTGATGTGTAGTGTGATGTGTGTGTACGGTGGTTCTCAAAGCTACTGAAGAGTAAGAGAGAGAAAGAATATATCGGGGAATGAAAGTCTCCGATGATTCTGCTGGACCCTACCTTTTGACTCTTTCAATTCCAAACCAACATATAATATAGAAGGGAGACATATTCCATTATATTTTCTTAATTTAGTGTGCGCGTAATTTTGTAAGAATTAAATTTTCGACTCAATTTAAAAAAAAAAAAAAAGCCTTTACTTTATGTGATTTTATTTATAGATTTAATCAAGCTAAATCAACTAATGGGTGTAAAATCTAAAAAGAATCACGTTCTCTATTTGAGAACTTAATTTTAGAATCTAGGACCAAATTTTTTTCTAAACATGCTTCTCGTGGATCTAAACGCGCACATGTATCATGTATACGGTCTCCAACACACAGCTGTCCCCATTCCCATCTCTACGTGATTTGTATTAACTTTTCATTTGGGCCCACCTCTGGCCCATAGCTTATCATAATTTCGGAAATTATTGGAGTGTCTTTCAAGTTAATAATAGTATTAATATATTATTTTTCATCCCCATGTTCACCTGTTATGTGCCAACTTTGAACTTTTTTTTTTTATATACAGAAATAAAATCGCTAAAAATTTAACTTCTTTAAAAAAGATTGATACATTCAGCCAAACATAACATTTACTTCCGAAAGCGCTTCTGCGTTCTCTCTGAGTATGTATGTATGTGTAGCTGTGGAATAGAAATACAGATTAGTAAAATAAATAAATAAAAATCTGAAAAGTGATTATATATATACAATTTGTTTGAAAGAAAAGTAAATAATAAGAAGGGAAGTAGTATCTGTTTGTAATGTGTGGTAGAGGGAGAGGAAAAGCTGTTTGGTGGTTCCGAAAACCAAAGAAAGCAAAATGGGAAGGTCCTTATTGTTTTGGTGCTTGTGAGTTGCAAAAAAGTTGACGTTTTCACGAAAGCGGAAAAGCTCACTTCACCACCACCTTCACCAAAACTATGGTAATTCCCTTTCCTAAAGTTACATGTACGTTCATTTCACATCTTCTTTTAATCTTTTTGCATATATCTGGCAATATTTTCAATCTGTCTTTTCTTCCATTGTGGTTAGTAATGCAAAATACTAAAACATGCATTTCTCATAAGTCATGTAATATATAATGCAACCCAATCAACCTTCCTTTTCAAAAATATTAAAATCAAATCAAATGTCACACCATGTTCACATTTATATTTTAAAAGTTTAATGCCTGTTAATTAATTTAACTACATAGGAATTTAATCCAAGTTTGACTGACAAATAAGACTTCAAAACATCATTTTCACACTAAATAGGTTTGGATGCATATTTAGGAATAATTGTGACCTGCTATTGCTTAACTATGGAGAATAATATATCTAAAAATAAAATTAAAAATTAAAATATTTGAACCTTAATTATTAGTTACAAATAGATGATAATTAAGATACTAATTTATAATAAAAATATAATATTTGACATGTATATAAGCACTATCGATTATAGTGGATAAATACAGATAATAACATTTATTTATTTTTGGTATATTGTTTTTCTACTTATCTCCTTATTATGAAGTTGATTTTATTTTTCATGGATACAAGAGAATGATGCATATTTCGATCAAATATAATAAAATTATCAGGGTTCAGTGAGAATAATTTGCATTTAAAATTTCTTCATATTGAACAATAATATGATTTAATTTCATTTTAGATGGGGATATATAAATATTTAAGATTGAAACGAGTTAATTATAATACTAACTTACAAATATAAAACTGAAGTATATATTTTTAATATGTCCAGCCAACATAATTAATTAAGATACCAAATAAACAATTAGTTATAAATAAAGAAACTAAAATATTTAACGTTCATACAAGTCATGATCAAAATATAATCATTGTTTTATATAAAGAATATAATACAATCTCTTCTTTATTTTTTATAGAGAGAATAAAAAAAAAAAAAAACTCAACATAATGAACCTGTGTTTTTAAAAGTAAAATGAACAAATTCCTAAACTTAAGAAACCAATTTCGTAATAAGGTATTAGGATATCTTTACTAATATATACATATATGGAAAATTATAAATTATGAATGTAGACACATAAAACAACGAAATTATTTATTAATATACTTATCATGGGGTGTAGATTCATAATATTTATTACCTATATAAACATTATAATCTAATATTAAAATGTTAGATGTAAAACTTTTAAAAGATCTAGTAATTAAGAAACTCAGACTCTAGTGAATTGGAGAAATTTTTCAAAATGTACCTTTCTAAATGGGAGTATTCACTAGATGCATTATAAGTTAAAGAGAAAGACAAATTATAGTTGGACTGGTTTAACCTATACCAATTCTACTTACACGACTGAAATAATCTATTCTCTACTTCAATCCAAAAATTGCTTCAAAAACTTCAACTCTCCACAAAAAAATTACTACCTAAATTAATTTAATCATTTGTCCAAATTTAATTTAGACAAAGTGTTCCTTTTCTATATAATAACCAAAATCCATGCACTAACAAAACCCCAAGCTATCTCCAAAAAATTAACTATTATTATAAGATTAGCATCCATTAATACGGTCCTTTTTTAACAAAAAATAATTTTTTTATATAAACACGGAACATATCTTTCCTCACGTAGAATTATTTTTTGTGAAATATACATATACATTTATTAAAAAATCACATTCAATGTTAATAAAGATACAATATATGTTTATTAGTATATATGTTAAAAATGTACATCAATTTGAATATAATTTTCAAATGTGAAAGACTATAATATATGGGAAGCAATTTCAATGGTTACATTAATGTTGGATATTGCTAATTTGCTAAGGGATTGAAATTAATGAACACGGCTTAAAATGAAAATTAAGATAGGTATCTCAATCATCATTGTTGTGCAAATAGTGAATTTGCAAAGTCAAACATCTTGATAGTTGTAAAATTTTGTCCCTAGATGTTATTTGGAAGGAGCCTACATAATTTGTGCCCTACTAGGCTTGCTTTAGTAGATGCATGTCTCACTTTCTCTCACTCACACGAACAAAACACGACACAAACTTAGTATTTACATGTGAGAAAAATGAAGTGTTTACTATATTATAATAATAATAATAATAATAATAATAATAATAATAATAGCTTTTTTTTTTAATAATTACAAATATCTAATAAATAATTGTAGTACTTTCAAACTTTTGTGTTTTAGTAGTACTTATATAGTCTATTATTAAGGTGCTTTCATTAATTATCTCATATTTGACCAAAAAACTAATGTAAAATAAATATATTCAACATCTTAAAATATGAATCATTTAACTTTTCATTATTTATAAGTAAAGCAAGAAAATGTAGAAATCATTCATTTTCAACTAATAACATGTCTTATCATAATCTTATTAACATTCATTATAAAAATAAACATACAGTGGTGCTAATTGTATTTAAAAACCTAAATAGTTAAGTAAAATTCATGTAAGTTTTCATTAAAAGTCTCATAAACATAAACTATATTAAATTTCATACTATTGAAGTGTTTATGTCATATATATCTTCTGAGCTAGTACAATCACTATCTAAAATATCTCTATAAATCTATAGCATGCTATGGATTTATGACTATGTATATGCAATTAGGGCATTCAAGTTTTGGTGGGAATAGCATGTTCAATAATGAAACATGCAAACTTTCCTCAAGTGGCTAAGTGTCGGGGTTGAAAAAACAGTCTCTTCCAAAATGGTTGTTCATAAGCCTTGAACCAGGGCCATATATATCCAACAATATTCCATGAACCTGTGATACATAATGTCATATCATTCGATGTAAATGTGTAACAAATGGACCGTTATCCCATCTGTAACACAGAAAAAAGAACACATGAAGTGTTCCTTTCCCTTACAAAATAAGACCACAAAAGTATTCCATCTTTTCAAGCATTCCACCCACTTCATATTTTTATCAGTAATACCTCACTCCCGATTACTAAACTAAAATTTTCCCTTAGTTTTTCCTTCACTGGAGGTAGCTAGAATTTACACCACTGAACAATGTTACACATGCTGCTGGAATAGTTAAGTAGATCCTTTCATGGTTTGAAATTTGTGATTGTTGTATATAACTCCCAAAGCATTCACAGCCTCATTGAACACTGAACAAATTTAGTCTTACCCTAGGAGCATAGGTGCTACACTAGTTGTAAATCTAACAGCAATAGGTTGATTTAATAATTTATGAATATAGAGAGAAGGAGAAAAGAAAGCATGAGAAAGACATGTCAAAGTCCACTTTTGTTGTGAGATGTTAGGAAGTGAAGAAAAAGGGAAATGGGGTCCAAATTTGAAACCCCATTGCAAGCGAATATATTGAAGGTGAAAGAGCACCACCCAGAGATTGTACCTTGGAGTGTCCACCTCTTACATACCCAACTCAACCACCCACTCTCCCATCAATCACACAACTTCATCCACTACCTCTTTGCTCCTCTACAGTACACATATAACGCGTCTAAATTGTAACCCCAATATAATACATACTTGTCCTTTCCTTCCTTTTCTTCTCCATAATTCTCTGTTTTATTTCCCAACCCGAATTGCAGGAATCAGATCAAGATGTCCAAACTTTTGTAGATAAAATAGATGTTCTTGACAGGAAAGATGTAGTCACTCAAGTTTCTTGAAACAGTAATCATCAATAAAGTTAATTAACGAATATTCTATATTAATAATATGATTATGAAAAAGAAAAAAAAAAAAAAGGAAACTGTGCCATGATTTGGAGATATGAGAAATGCAGAAATTTACACTGGCTTGAGAGGTAAAAAAAGAAATAGAGATCTCTGGAATTGCATTAGGAATAGCTAAATTCGACAAATTAGTAGTAATTCAGTATCTAAAAGTGAATGATCAAAACATTGATAAATAAATTTTATGTATTAAATGTGTATATATACATCTTAAATTGTTATTTAATTATTACTTTAAGCATCAATTAACAAAACTATATTATTACTAACTCTGATCCTGTCTATGACATTTGTTTAACAAAATTGTTTTTGATTATTTTTTCAAGACTGTCTTTAAATCTTCGATAGCTATAGTTGTTCTTTAACAAAAGTAATCTTAAATAGGAATGTATTTACTAATTGAACAAAGATTAAAACCATACAAACTATTAATGAAATAAATGTAACCAAATTTACCCAATAGGTGTGAATCCCTAAACGACACTGAAAAATGACTCCAAGTTTGTTCCTACATAGCACATTATCGGAAAAAGGTGGGAGAAACTTTAAGTTGACTAAGATGTAGATCAAAAATTAATTTTCTGACATTTAAAATATTGAAGCTTTATAAATATCTGAAAAATCATACTGAAAAGTCAAACACTCTACTTAGATTGGTTGAAAAATCCAAATTTCGTAATTTTTGCAAAGTAATTAAAAGATTCTTAAACAGAAGAGGAAAGACAGTAATTGGTAAGAGAAAACCATGGTCATAGGCATCATAAATTGTTACAGGTGATACGTGGAACAAAGTTGTACGCTTTGAAGTTGACATATGGTATATGTATTTGCGCGTGTGTGTGAGAGAAGAGAGAGGGAAGGGAAGAAAGAAGGTTTAGCAGAATAGGTGGTAATGGCGGTGGTGATGAGTATGTATGGGTGTGATGACTTGTAACCCTATCATGGCCCGATCTTCGAAAGGAGAATAATAAATGCAAAGGGTCAGAGAGAAAACAGTACTTTTTTGGCAGAACAGAAAAGAGGGTCCTGATGTGAGAGGTGAGAAAATGATTTTGTAATCGATTGCTTTATGATTGATGAGCATTCAAAAAGTATGCAGTTGACAATGAGAGAGAAAAAGGTTACTGCTAAAAAGCCCTTTTGAAAAGTTTCTTTATTTTAACTTTTACTTTTTATACTGACAAATCAAGAAAACTGTTCAGAGAAGAAAGAGAACAACTATTAATTATGAGGTTATGATGACTATATCATCAACATTGCAGCGCATGCATAGATAGAGAGATACATATAGCTTCTTCTTCCTCTTGACTCGATTAACATGTGCAGTACACTTTGTCCTCTGCTGATAAAAGGGCAAAGATAAATTGGTGCCACTCAGCTTTTTTTTAACTTGCTTTTCCCCTACTCAGGAAAGAGCTACTACATGTACATCACTCGTGATCTAGTTAATGGAAACCACACTTGAAAGCTATGTTACGAAAATTAGAGAACTGAAAACCTAATTAATAAATGTGATTCTTTAGATATTTAATGCCAATTTTTAGTGTATATATGTGGGTAGAGGAAAAAGATGGATTACATGCACATGTGCTTTGTCAATAGTATTTTGATTTTCAGATGTGAAAAGTGGATGTTTTGGTTAATAAAAGATGGACAATTTGTTCTCATAAATTATGGAGTAGTGAATAACATAGTTTTACTAACCTTTTGTCATCATGATATATACGGTTCTGTTTTCTGGAATGTGAGACACCAAGTAAGTCATGAAAAACCCTATAGAGAAAACCAAAATAATTAGGGCATTAATGAGGGAATGAAGGAGTGAATTAAGAAGAAAGAAGAGGGTTTTGTATTGTTGTTATATGCATGCATGTGTGTGAGTGGGATGAGGGACTGAGCTTTCACATCATGGCTTGTTAAGGGCCCTGACAGTGTCTTTCACCAAAGTCGCTGACTCTGTTGTCTGCCCCGCATTTAAAGCGCGCTCTGTTTCCCTTCTCTCCAACCCTCTCTTCCCTTCTCCACTTTCTTCCTTTTTCACTTCCTTCCCACATAAACAACCAATAATAACCACCTCTCTCACCCTTCTGCATTCTTTCAAATCGCGTTTGACACCTTCAAACCTACCTCTAATAATCAATGTAAACGTGGTTTAAAAGAATTATAACTTCTTCCCTTCTCTGATTTTCTGATTTGATTTCAGGTACACGTGCTTACACTTTACCATGTTTGTTTCAAAGTGGAATATAACTTCAATTTTGCATACGTAAGCTTCTTTCCTATTTTTAACTGGACTTCGAATCAAATTAATTTTATAACACTACCATTTAATTAATAACTATTAAAAATACATGTAATTTATATCTCCCTTTTGTTAGTAATTAATTTCATAATTCATTTAGTCCATCTTCAAACTTTTCGTATCATAAATAACTAGTAAACATAACTTCAAAATCCTCACAGAACATATGAAATTGGCAAAAATAAAAACAAAAGAAAGTGTGAGAGATGATTATAATGAAGAAGAAGATGAAGGAAGATAACACATGGGGTGGTCTATTTCATAGCTGGGCCTAGACCCAACAATAATTAGAAGAATAGCCGAAGTGCTTCAACCAAAGAGTTTACGCTTGTTTACTCATCTATTATTTTTCTAATTATAATGCAGGGTGTTCTTAATAAATGGAGTGAGATTTGTTGTTGATGATGATGGTATGTAGCAGAAGGACTAAATAACTACATGGTTTGATAGTGTGATGAGAATAGGGTTGTTGGAAAATTTAATGTGAATAATGAGCAACCTCTACCACATGAGGTAAAGGAAGGGACAACATTGAACAAAAGAGAATGGGATAAGGAATAAGACAATTGACTTTGCCTCATCCAACACTTTTTTTAATATGGAGTTTGGGGAGTAGGGTGTACCAAAACAAATGGCCCTCATTGGAACCCTAGCTAGATATAGCTAGGAATTAGGCTCAAAAGGAATCTACTTGTCTAGTCCTTCTCACTTTTTTAATTTTATCATTTTATTCATTCATTCATTCAAAAATTAGCATTTATATATATATATATATATATATATATATATATATATATATATATATATATATATATATATATATCTTTCGTTTCAAATTCCTTTTAAGAGTCATTCTTTCAACTCTTCTTCTCATGATATATGGGTAATCAAGAACAAATCAGTTTTTCCAATAAGTAATTTTTAAATAATAAGTTAAAGTGGCATTGCACAATTATTTTTAAAATTACATAAATTTTTAAATGGAAAAATTAAAGAGAGTGATTTAAAAGATATAATAGCAAAATTACACTAATTATATGGCACCACCCATTACAACCTGTAGACATGTTTTTCTATTTATTCAAAATTATGAAGACATTATGTAAAGTCCTCACTCTTCACTGCCTATGTAAGTTTATTTTTAGATGTCAACTTTTGTTGTACACAAAACATTATCACGTGTCAATGCAAAACAGATAACCTAACTTGACCTATAAAAAAAGTAAAAAAAAAAAAAGTTCAATTTGCTTCAAAGTATTTGAAGTTTTGTTCAAGATTCTCACAAACCTATTCAATATTTTGCAAGTCTTTTATCTAAAATTCTAATTTTTGTAAGTTTATTTTCTAATCTCTTTATATCAAATCAATATTGTTGTGTTAATATAATGATGTTATTTTGGCTACGAAATAAGCTGTATATTGAAAAGGAAAATATTCATATGCTTTAAAACATTTTACTACTCACTATTTTTAAGTATATAAATAATCTGTATCAATATTATAGTTACAAATAAAATATTATTGTACTAAGTTAATTATTATATTACTTTCTTAAATTAAATTAATTACCATCATTTTAAGTATTACTTTCTTCAAATTCTATATTATAAAAATAGCTTTTAAGTTCAAGTTAATAAAAACAATATTCTAAATAATTTATACAATTTAATCCTCTCTTTCAATTGAGTCCTCTAGAATAAACTTTTCAATAAACAATCCAAATTTGCTTGTAATGGAACCATATCTCTTTCTAAATATATCAATATATATCCAGAAGAATGGATCATATTAAATTTATTGAATATGCTTTTTATTATTATTGAAAGGCTTTTAGAGATTCTAGCTTGTTAGTCGTGTAATTTTTATGAGATACCGAATTCATAATGTATAGTCCCTACGAGAGGTTATTGGGCTTGTTTCATTGTCACGTAAACAAATCCTAATGGCTTTGGGCCACTCTAGAATGTGGCAGTCTACAACAATGTTATTTATCTATAAATATATAATTACAAATAATAATTAAAATTATATTAAAATTTTAAATTGTAAATAGAAAACAAAAATATTACAAATATAAAATAATAAAATAAAAACTGTATTTATTTTTAATTAAAAATATGAGATTACTCACTCATTCTACTTAGTAATCCTGACTCGGTAAATCTGCAGTCACTCTTCTGCAATAATATTTTCGAAACCCACCAGCATGCAATTTCACAAAACTTCACAAAAAGTGCGTACACAGATTTTCCTATATTGTATTAAGATTGAAAAGTATGATCATTTCTGATGCCAAAAGAAAAATAGGCATGAGCAAGTGGATCCCTTAAAACTTCAATTGTAGAAAAAACAAAAAATAAAAAAAAACTCGGATAGAATCATAGAATTAATCTGGGGTGCTTTTGAGTGCATTGCATTACTTGCATTATCTCTACATAATCCACCAAGATAACAAGGGAACCTATATCACAGCTAAAAATATGAACATTTATCTTTTCACCATGTAAAATATTAATACTGCTGCATGCTTCATGCTGCAGTGCAGACCCTAACCAACCACGCAACAGCCTCTTGATTCTGCCCATTCTTTAACCTCAATTATTTTCACAATGTTTTTGCCATCAACAATGAAATCATGATGCGTTCAGAAAATGAATACTATATTACATGTTTGGTATTAGGTTAAGAATAAAAAAAAGTGAACACATTTGGAGCTTAATAATGTTAGGGACGCAAAAATTATACCTTCAACTTCTGAAAATTGAATCTAAACATGGTAGACAAGAACTTGCACCACATCATATTCCACCTGCGCATATGTTAACCTTGCATTCTGTGTATCAGTACTAATAGTGGTTCTGATACCAAATACAGATTTCAAGTATTTATCACTCTTCAAGTTCTAAACTATGATGAACTCATCATTTCCAACAATTTAACACTTCTAACTTCAAACTTTTTTGGGAAAAATACAAAATATCCCAAAAGATACTCTCAGTGTACAGAACACAAAATCATGAAGTGAAGCACAAGTTCTCAGAAATGAAAATCTAAGCTACAATCACAATGAAAGTTAATATTTCATTCCTATTCCCTAACATTACCATTTTACATAGTTATTAAAAAAAAAAGAAAAAAAAAAAAAGACTTACAACGCGAAACCCTTCAAGTATTCAGGGTCACGCTTGGCCCGTTCTTGAAACTTCTTGAACCACCTGTCCAAGATATCCATGGGAACAACCAACTTGGACCCATCCACACCACAGAACGACTGCATGAAATTGAAGAGATTCTCTCCAACCTTCATCGCCAAACCTTCAATTCGCTTCCCGGCTGCCACGTCCAGCGACGGCAGCGACGCCAGATCCTCCACCGACACACCAATCTTCGCCGATAGCGGCTGCGCGTCAGCCGTCAGCTGCAGCGGCCCGCCAGTGCCCGGCTCTGGCCACGCCAGGGTGAGGACGGCAGAGGGGCGCGCCACTGTGACGGCGCCGCAGAAGACGAAGGGCGATCCCGGCGACTGGATGTAGACGGCGAGCGCCTTCTCCGGCGGGAGGGTGAAGCCGTCGAGGAGGAAGATGCAGAGGTCGCGAACTTGGTCATACGCCTCGCCTGCCCACCTTAGAGGGTTAGAGCAATTGAAAGCTAATGTGGGCCGGAGTTAAAAAAAGAATGTGGGGTTTTGAGTTTAGGGTTCATGTTACCTACGAAAGTGTTCATGTCGAGGACCCAGTGGAAGGTGTCGATTTGGGTGAAGGCTGAGATGTCCATTGGGAAGCTTCGGTTTGGAAAAACAACTCCGAACATGTTGAGAATCTCTTGCTTCTGTCGCTGCTATACAGATTGTGTTAGTGCTCCTTAATTCAATGACCATTAGCACTGAGAAGAATTCAACTGTTTCTCTAATGATTTAGTAAGAGAGAAAGACCATGGTGTGTCTAGAACATTCTGGATATACATGGGGAAATATACGTCTTTCCACCTTATTTGGATTTGTATTTACTTGTATTCAATTTAAACTTTTATTCAAAAAAAAAAATCATTTTAATCTTTTATTTGTTAAAAGATATTAGAATTAGGCTTCTATAAGGAAACTAATAATAAACTTTTAAAAATTAATAAACATATTTTTTGAAAAAGAACATTAAATAGTATTTATATTCACAAAACACACTTAATTTTACTTAGATAATATATTATCTCCTGCTACTCATAGATTATATAAGTTAATTTTGCGTGACAATGATGCATTGTTTAATCTAAAAACATTAGATAATATTTTGTGTGGTATTTTAAAACATGTTTAATTGTATGTCTTTAATCAAGATTGATGCTTTAAAGTTTATTTCAACGGAATAATTGTTGACAAAAAAAAGAGTGTCTTCCTATACAATAAAGGTAAGTTATTTAATTTTTAAAAAATAAAATAGATTTTGTAATATCAATTTTACAGTTAAAATTCAAAATTACATATAAAATACGATAAATATATCTTTTCAAATTATAAACGAACTATCATGTACAATTTAAAGATAATATTCTTAATAACATCTTTATTTATTTAAATATATATTTATCATATTTGAAGGACAGTAGCCTGACCTTTCTTAAAAAATTCAAAATTTAAATTATTTAGACAGTCTTTTAAATCAAAATGAATAAATCACTTAAATAACATATAAAACATATTTTATTATTATTATTATATTCAAATTATTATAGTATATTAATTTTTCAATTTATTTATTTTATAAAAGATATTTTGATGTAAATAAAAGGTTATTAGTAATTTTAAAATACAGAAATAAAAAATGACCATGAAGTTTGTTATTAATAATGATTAAATAAGATTTTAGTAACTCTAAAATTGATTTGTATTAAAATTAAAATCTTTATTTATTTTAATATTCGTATACCTACTATTTAATGAATACATAAATTCTATTATAATAGTAATTAATACGGTTTTGTATCCATATAAAATTATTAATATTTTTCATTTCTATTTTGAGTGTGCAATATATTGATTTTAATAACATTTTTAAATTTATTTAATAATTTAAATTTTAAAATTAATATATTATGATGATATAAATTAATAAATATATAATATATCTAAATTTATTAAAATAAATGGACGTAAAAAGCTCTTAAAAAAAACTTAAATTGAACTTGGTTATTATTATTTTTATCTCATTTAACTGGTTGGAACATCAAAATATGAGCCTTACTTATAATCTACATTTAAAAAAAAATCATATCTAAATAAAGTATTTTCTTAAAAACAAAAAATTGTATACAATTGATTTCTTGGTGTGAAACCTACAAAAAGTTAAATATGTTACATTTCAAAGGTGAATTTATCATATAATTAGAAAAAACAATCTCTTAAATTCACATTTGAAATACTCCAATGTTTTTTCTTTTTATTTGACAGAGAGCATAACTAATTTTTTATTATTTAAATTTTGCTCATGTTAAATAAAGTTATAGATATAATAAATTTTTTAAATTATTTGATATAATTATTTATCTAAAATAAAAATTCTATAGAATAAACCAAACTTGGTAGATTTGTAACTTCAATTGTTGCATTTTTTTTATTAATTATTTTTTGAAATCAATTTTATGTTTTGTTTTAAGATAAAAAAAGTTATCTTATTTTTTCCTCTGTGAACCGGTTTGGTGGTATTTGATTCGTTTTTATTTTATTTTTTAACAAAAAGGAGGGGCTGAAAACCGTCTTACAAGTTGCGTTGAGTTGCCCAAGCCAAACCTATCGAGTCTCGCAAGTTAGGGTTCTTTTCCGCGCTCCAACCTTCTTCCTTCTCCCTTTGCTAACCAATTGGTACCAATTTCTTTAACGCTCGTTTTATTTCTTTCATTTACTTTTCTCTCTTGTTGTTCAAATCCTTAATCTTGATTAGATTTCCTTTTTCTGACGCCTCGGCTCATTCACCTTTCTTTTTTATATAGAGTTCCACCGATTTGGTTTATTCATTTTATCGCAGTCACTCGCTTACTCAGGCCCCAATTTCTTCCTCCCTGAATGATCTATTTTAATGTAATATTTGATATTCCAACAAAAAAATAAAAAAATAAAAATCCTCTAGTGTATTAATTTGTTGTAAGGGGTTTTTCAGTAGATGAATGTTCTCTTTGAAATTTAAATATAGGTAGCTTTGTTCTACTTTGATTTTATCCTTGTGCTAGAATTACAATTATAAGCTTGCTTCTTATTTCGTACATTTAATTATAATTATTGTTATTATTGTTTTGAGTATTCATTCACACTTGTTTTGTATTTTTCTGTAGGAATTGGATTATGACTTAATGAGACTGTGACTTCATGTTCTGTGGCATATAGTGGTTGACATTTTGAAATTGTAACTGTGGGATCAACAATTTATTTTGTGGCATCATGGAGATACAGACTTGTGGCAAGCCAATTGACTCCTTGTTAGAGAAAGTGCTGTGCATGAATATTCTGTCGTCTGATTACTTCAAGGAGCTCTATAGATTAAAAACGTATCATGAAGTTATTGATGAGATCTATAATCAAGTTGATCACGTAGAGCCGTGGATGACTGGCAATTGTCGTGGTCCTTCAACTGCTTTCTGTCTTCTTTACAAGTTTTTTACAATGAAGCTCACTGTCAAGCAAATGCACGGGCTGTTGAAACACCCGGATTCTCCTTACATAAGAGCGGTATGTGGAGGTGCCCGACAAAGTTTATTGGACTTTACTGATTTGTTATAATTGGTGAAAATATTTTGTGCTTGTTATGGTATGTGTGTTTGTGCTTGAAAGTTTTATTGGTTTGGGTTTGAATGACTTTCTGACCATTTCTAATCAAGTTATGAATTTATGCTTGCCTTGAACCGTAGTTTATTTAGTATGTCAATAGAAGATGCATTCACATGAGACTATTTAATTATATTGCAATCACTTAGTTGTAGCATAATTTATTTTAAATAGTTGAAATTACAATTATCATAACAGATCTTGAACTGCTGACTGTTGTGGTGGGTTTCTGTTGAATTATCAAATGTAAGGTAGCCAAAATTACATGTTAGATTGAGGATTGCATCTGTCTACAGTTTTTATGCTTGCTGCTATGATTCTGGCACACCCAAAAAGACGATTTAGTGAGGTTGTCTGGTTTTCCTTTGATAAATTGAGGGATTGAATGATGCGATCATCTGGTCAAATGACCCATTTCTGAAAGATAAAACCTGAGCCCACCCTAAATCTTAAGAATTAGGGCCCAAGGCCATAACCACTTTAGTCATTCATTTGACCCTTCCCTCCAACTTGTTCACTGTTTTTTGAGCATTGATTTGTGTTGCTATAAGTTTTAGTTTTTTGGGGGATGGTTGAGGGTTAATGGGGGTATGGGTTGAGCAGGAGGGTGTTTGTAGGTGGTTTGACACTTTGACTACTTTCTTTCTTCCTGTTTCTTCAGTATGCTCCTGCTTCTGGCTAGGGTAATGCTTATCTGTTGCATGCTCTTGTTTTTTTCTCTGTTTTGGTTCCTGGATCCTCCATTTATATTTAACTTTGTGTCTCCAATTGTGCCTATCTTCTGATATTTTAAGCGCTTTTGGTTTGTGGAAAATTTTCAATTTACCTATTTTGTTTCAGAAACCTCATTAGATATAATACATTAGATATTATCTATCTTCCTGCTTTTCAGTTGCGCTTAAAAAGAATTTCTTTGAAAGAACAAATGACTTCTTTCTTGTAATAATAATTCAAGTCCATGAGAGTGGACTCTGGCGCATTTGTAAGGATTTTTGCCTCGTGATCCTAGTGATCATGGGTTCAAATCTTAGAAACAATCTCTCTATCTGCATGGTAAGGTCGCATACGTTACACTCTCCACACCCTATTAAGTAGGATGCCTTCTGAACTGGTTTAGCTTTAATAATTCGATCCATCTTCTCCTTTTTACTTAAATTGTTTTGATGTAAGAATGTACTAGCAACTTGTATTTTTTTATATTGATATTAAGTGTTGTTTTAGTGAGATGAAGGATAGCATGATTCAGCTAGGCATCAAAATAAAGACTGTGTTCTGTATGCAACGTTCTCATTTGTGGCTTTTTCCTGTTTATCTTATGGTCTATATTGATTTCATTTATTGTTTTTAGGTTGGATTTCTCTATCTGAGATATTGTGGAGACCCAAAGACACTGTGGAGCTGGTTCGAGCCATATATAAAAGATGATGAGGTATGATGACATGGTTATTATCTTACTATATTCTGAAAATTTCTTCGTACCTCAACCTGGATTTGATTGAAGTGCTGAATCCTGGATATAATTTGTATGTTATTCCATTTATCTAAGAATTGATTGTACCACTGCTATACCGGGATTATGCTAATTGAATATTTTATCAACAATGTTTTGTGGGCCAATATGTTTCTTTGTTTTGGAAGATAGTTGTTTGTTTGGGATTCAGTTGACTTGAATTATCTCTGATCTTCGGATAGTTCTCCCTTAAAAATATATGAATTATGATGCTGTGTTTCAGGAATTTTCTCCAGGATCTAATGGTCGAATGACTACAATGGGTGTATACGTCCGTGATTTGCTACTTGGACAGGTTTGTTCTCTTTATATCTCTATCAGGCTATATTTTACATAAGAGCATGGTCCCTGGTTTACTGTCTTTGAGCTCATGCTTCTATTTTGCTTGTAGACAATGAAATGCATTTACATGATAATTAGCAAATTTTGCTCTGACCTTTTTTATATTGAGATTTTAAATGTGCACTGCACAATTGCAAGGGATAAAATCATTTGACTTGAGTAACGACTAGTTAAACTGAGAATTATCTCTTCAGAGCTTTCCTACCAGAATTCAGATGCATCACAAGATTTCAAATGCAGCCATGTCCCTCACCATCCCATAATTTGGAGTAACAGTATGAGGTGCTTTCGGTATCTTTGGATATAAAACTTGTATACCTACCAGTAGTTGCTGATTAAAATTAGTCTAAAAGAATCTTCCTTTTTTTTAACATTTTTTATATTGCATGCTCGTTATGGTTGATTTCTCATCTCTAAAGCCGTTGTATTTTGAGGGTTTTAGTAAAAAAATGATTATTTCGTATATGCTTTAGAGTAGTAACCCTGCCTGAACTACATAGCTGTTATCAATTTACTCTACACTTGTTTGATCCTTTGAAATACATTATTCTCATTATTTGGATGAATGTGCTCTAATATTGGAAATATGAACTTGAGGGATCGTATTGATAAAATTAATCTAAAAGGGAGAAAATCAATGAGAGGTGGATCTTTCTGGGACTAAAATGAAATTTTTCTCTTTTCACATTTCATCATTTGTTCCGGTCTTTCCTTTTCTTGCTTAGATTGAGATGATATCTATCTTTTGCATTGTTTATCTTCATTTGTTTTCACCTGCAATGATAGTATAGCAGATCCATGTCTTATATTTTACACTACCTGTAATTGGGTTTGTACTTCTGGCGTTGAAACATTTTTTAAATTTCAAGTCTTATGGAGCTATATTTATCCTTGTCTGTCTTTTTTTCAAGTCGTTTAGGATTATCCTTTTTAAGCTTAATGTCTTTGAGGTCTTAGAGCAAGTTGTAGGCTAAGTTGATAAATAATTTCTTTATGTTTGGCAATTTATGTCTTCAATCATTGTTACCTAATACTTCATACTTGATAACAGCGGGTGGCCATATTATAATGTAGACATGTAGTAACTACCATTCTGTATTATATAATACGGAGCTGTTCATCCTGAAAGGTGGGAGGTTCAGTATCAAATGTCATCAAGTTTTTATGTACTTTTATACTCTAGTTGATATGTTTCTTGTATTAAGGTGTAAATGAGTTTGTCCGAGTTTCTATGTAATGCCTAGCTTGTTGGATTGTAAGTTTGTTTTGGTCATATTTTCATTGGCATTTTAATATTTCTGCTATGAATTCATATTAAATTATTGATCTCAGGTTGTATGCATAGAATAATTCTATATAATGTAAATGTATTTGAATTATATAACACATCCAACATTCAAATGAATTATGTTTTTGTTTCATATGAATTATATTTTTGGTTCAAATGAAGAAGGAACAAGTGCAAGAACCGAAACAAGTTATTATGTTTTTTATTGCATGGAAAGATTCTAGAGAGATGCACACAAGTTTAATCTTATTATTTCCATTCCATTCTCACGAATATTTAGTATTTATATCAACATTTGATGTTTCTTTGTTTTATGTGGTTACTACTTCTGCTTTGCTGTCATATGTTGTGTGTTTGTTGATGCTTAATGATTTCGGGAATGTTGTGCGTGGTACAGAATGTGTCCTGGTTGGCAGACTTGATTGGTGCAATTCCCAAGTTTATTTCACCCCTTATTTCCGAATTATTTAACTATACTTTAAGGGATTGATGAATCTGTTCTGCCGTTGCAGTATTACTTCGACACACTGTTTCCTCGCATCCCTGTTCCTGTATTGCGACAGGTTGTGGCTAATCTTGAAAAGTTGAAGCTCCCCACTACACATTCTGGTTCAACAGGGGAATCTACCCGTCATGGTTCCGATGATACTGCCCGTAGACCACCTTCTGTTAAAGCTGCCCTTTCTGTCTCTTTTGGTCAGCGGGCTCCTCATCGAGCCTCCACAAGGGATTCTTCACCTATTCGCCGGACATTACCATCTCACGAAAGAAATGGAAGTGATGACATAAGAAGATCTCCAAGTAATCGTCGCAGCCAGAGCCGTGAATATCCTGATAGGGATAGGGATCGAGATCGATCACGGTCCAGAGACAGGGATCGCGATTATGATAGGGATCGGGAACGGGAACGTGATAGGGACAGATACCGTGACCGAGATAGAAACAGGGAGTGGGAGCGGGAAAGAGAACGGGAAAGATACAGGGATCGTGACTCCGAGAGAGATCCAGAAAGAGACAAAATCAGAAGGGACAAGGAGCGGGAAAGAGAGAGGAGTTATGATTATGATAGGAGGTCTAAGCACACAGATAAAGAAAGCAGCCGGGATTATGACAATGGTAGTAGACACTATCGGAGGAGTCGGAGTAGAAGTAGGAGCAGGAGTAGAAGTCAGAGCCTGCAAGCTGGCACTGCTCGGTATGAATCGCATTCTAGCCCACAGAGAGATGGGAGTAAAAGAACTTCCGCATCCAGTAATCTAGCTAAACTTAAAGATATGTATGGTGATTTAGGGGATAATAAAGGAGATACCAACATGGAAAAAATTCGTAGAAAGGATAGTGGAGGGGAAGAGGTTATTAGACTTGGCGGGTCTACTTGGAAGTATTGAAAGTGATCATGGAATTCTCGTTTCAGATGTTGGATGACTTCTCAGACAAAAAGTATTTGGTCTAGCCCATTTCTTGCCGTTGGTTGATAGATGTTTAGGTTGGTGGTGAATGCTATCTATATTAGCATTCATAGATTATGTATACTAAAATTTATCCCTGATGCATTGAATTTCATGCTTTGTAATCGTGAGTTTTAGACCAAAGATCATTCTATGTAGTCCCGAACTACCATGTTTACATTGTGATAGTTTAAACTCTGATATTTTATTGCGTTTCCTCATGGATCAATAATCTAAGAATACTGTGTACTTCGAAACGCCTTTATGTGGAAGAGTGATAAGAAATATACGCCGATGCCTTTATAGTATGTGGGAAAAAAATTCAATCCTAGTTTAGATAAAATTTTGGAATGTATTACGATTTGAAATGCATCAGTGCCTTTTTTTTCAATTATTTATTTATTTATTTATTTATTCAGGAAATCTACTTTAATTTAGTGACGTCGCGTGCCATTTCAGTATCATTCTACTTTTTCAACATTTTTGCCTGCCTTAGATCTTTACCATAGCCTATTGCTATGGTGAAACAAAACTGCCCATAATGGTTATATTTAGATAAATAGAAAGCCAACTTTAGAGGTAGAGCGGAATTATCTTGATATTGCATATATTGGTAAGTAGCATTGAATACGAAGAGAATCTTTTCATGAATTAGGAAAGCATGAATCTAATTGCAAAATATAGTTCTAAGAATTTTGCGTTACACAACTGTCATACATGTTATGTTAGAATATATGAAGCACTGGTCGAAATCTATAATTTCTAAACTTGAAAGTAATGCAAAAAGTTTTATATTTCCAATCGAGAATTTTGTGAGTTGCGCTACTGTCGCACATGTTCTGAGATTATATGAAGCACTGCTATAAATCTGGGTTGTGGCATTTGTGTAAAGCACTTCAGGCTCTTGAAATCTTTCCCCACTATTTTGACAAACCATTCGCTACAAGAACTAAGGACATTAGAGGAAAAGTTGCTGTATCAAAGGGATAAGAAAGCGTGGTTGGTTCCAATAAGCTGTTTGTTATTCACATTTGATAGAATGATATATGTGACGGACAAAGATCAAAGCAGCACGGAATCCCACTGTTCCAAGCATGAGAAAGAAACCATAGCAAATGCAAGCCATGTAGCCAAAAAAGAAAGAGGTTTGCATGAAGCCAGACATATCTGATCTTTCATAATAGTAATACAAGCAGTACCCATATATGAACAAGCCAGTTGATCCACCACAAAGGAAAGACCTAATCACGCCAACAACGAAATAGTTAAGAGAATGGAGGAACATGCATTACATCAAAGCGTGACCTAAATTCTAATTAATAAGCAAGGAAATCAGTGAGAGAACTCGCATTCTAAAGTCTACATACCTCCACCACCATTCATGGTCCTCGGTGGCAAGCTGAAAGTATGTCAATGCCACAGTGACAAACGCAGTGACAATCAATAGGATGAGGAAAACAATAAACAAAATGCTGTATATGGTGTAAATTTGGTGGCCCCACACACTAGCAAATATGTAGTAGAGTTCAATGTAAATGGCACTAAACGGCAAAAAACCTGCCATAGCCATTTGAGAAAGAGTTGTACGGTACCAAGGTAGTTGGGGTATCTCCCTAGGATACTTATTGGTGCGGCAAGGAGCTTGAAACCCTGATTGGCTATTCTTACCAGCAATCCCTCCCAGTACTAGCAAAGGTGAGGTTACAAGAGTCCATATGAGGAAAATAACCACAATTGTTCCAAATGGAAGTGCTGCAGTGGTGTTATAGGCAAGTGCAACAGTATTAAGAAAGCAGAATGTGAAAAACAAAGGTCCAGAGAACAAACTTCCAGTCAACACCAAAATTTTCACCTGTCAAAAACCAAATAAAAACCTCAGAAGTGTACTTCATCCAGGTTGCAGTGTCCTTCCACTTTTTTTAAAGCGAAGGCCAACAAAAAGTAATTATGACACAGCAATTATACATTAATATTTAATAATAATAATTCTGTCCAATCATTTATACTGCTAAATATTTACTTCATCCACATTTCAGATTTGTAATCATGCATCTATTTGATCCATGTGGTTTTTTAAAGCTAGTAAACTACACAATATGCTGATATCTAAAAGGAGTTTCATCAAGAACTTTAATCAAATTCACTAGCTACTCAGATACAGAGTGATGCCCATGGAGTATAATATAACGTACCCAGTTTTTGCCTTCAATCATGTAATAAAAGGAAGCTGCATAGTAGCCTGCGATGCCGGACGTTAGTGCATATATGACCACCAGTGCAGTAAACAAAGATCCCCTATTGTATGGATAGAAAACCCCAACTAGAGCAAGCATAAAGATGAATATTGCACTGGAAGTAGGAGAAAATGTCATGGGCAGGAAAGAGCTGAACAACACAGGATAACACATTTAAATGATTAAGTACTTAGAGGTGGTAACTCACAGTGTAAAGAGCTGGGTTCCTGTTCCAAGTGCTGCTGCAAACAAAGACTTGAACCTTGGGTACCTGAACACATCACCATGGATATATTTCCATCCACTTTCCTCCTGGTCATCAACTGCTTCCTCATCAGGAGTAAACCTGTCATGTATTGAAATGGTTGATACGATAAGTTCCTGGAATTAAGAGGTTTAAATCATGAAAGTACACACTGCTGAGAAGAGTAAATGAGAATGATTCTTACTTAACAAAATCATTCTTGAGAACACGCATGAGAATTATGGCGAGGAATCCAGTCAGGAGGAGAACAGTTACACATGAATTGATGACAGAAAACCAATGGATTTCCAAGTTATGTGACAGTGAGGACGTTTGCGAGTACTTCTCCAGCCTCTTCTCAAATGGAGTATCGGTTTCAATCCATTTGGCAGAATATATGAAGTTCACATCTACTTCTCTATTTTCTGTCAGGTCCACAACTGCACGTGGATCGTTTCGAATGAAAACATCAATGATGCGATCCTTATTGTACAGAATCTCAAAATGGACATGCGTGAAAAGATGGACTGTGACCCCGGTTGGCTCATCCTTGTCTTCACTGTCAAATTTTCCAAGGAAACCCCAAATGGGCAAGTCATCATAGTACATTTGGTAAAAATAGTCCTTCAAGACAGCATGTCTGAATTGAGCAACCTCTTTTATTGAAAGCCTCTTTTTGCAGATACTTTCAGGTTCTTTGTCAATTTGGAAGTCCAGTTTGTAAGGAGCAACAACTAATCGATCCCCATTCAAAACTTCACCGAGATCTTCCTTTTTTTCTTCCACATTAGCTGCAGCCAACAAGTTTTGAAATTATTGGGAATAGTAGAAACCAAAGACATTAGTAGGAAGTAGGAGAAAAGAGAATGTTACTAGCAAACTAACCTGGTGAGCAAAAGGGAAGATCAAAATATCTGTATGTCTCACTGTGGTAAGGAAGAAAAAGAGGAAAGCACAATGAATTAATAGAGTCATCTCATTGTGAGGATGGAATTAATACGTGCATTAGACTTTTCCAATATTCATTCTTATACACAGGCATTAGAATTAACGGGTTTAGTAAAAAAAATATTTCTCTTTCTTTCTTCGCCATAGATTAATGAAGCTTTAATGGAAGGAAATGGTATGGTTGAGGTAAAAATCCAGAGGGATACATCAGAACATTACTTGATCGTGAAGGTAAGTCTTACATTAAATAATTTAAAGGTCAACTGCCTGCCTGATCGCTGGGATTCATTCTAAATTTCTATTCAACACAGCCTACTATTTCTGAATTTCACATTGAAACAAAGGAAGCTAATATCCCTTGATATGTTTAGTTTCCTGTAGTGAATTGAAAGTATTCGTAACTAATGGCACAGTTTCTAAGCCACATTCATTTCTTCTGTTCACTGTGAAAAAATCATCCCTTTCACACTCAAACAACTAAATTTCACTATCAAAGTCTTGAATAGGTTCCAAAATCCCAATCCACACCATAAATAGGCCATTGAAACTTCATTACTACACATAATCAGAACAACACTATGGGATGAAACAGACAAGGCATCCAATTCCAGAGAAAACCCCACCCTCAAAATGGTAACCCCATCACAACACAACAACAAAAAAACTATTTTTTCTTCAATATCTTATGGGATTGAAATGTTTTGAAGCATATATATGAAATGGTGAAAGTGAGAAGAATGACAAATTTAAAACCTGACCTGGGATTGTGAAAGGGTCCCACCTTGTTGGCATAAAAGGGAACGGAATCTCCTTTGCTGTAACGGTGATCCGATGCATCAGACATGACATGGGTTATGCAGCACCACAGGATCACAATGGCACCAATCAAACACGCCGTTGACTTTCCCATTCTCACACAGATTGAGAGAGAGAAAAACGAAGAGAGACTCTCCAATACAATGCAATGGCTTCTTTTTGCACTTATAAGCCAAATAAGTGCATGAGAGTGAGAACGAAGAAGAGGGAATCTCCACGTTACTTCCTTCAACCAAACGAATGAAAAAAAAAAAACATACACACACACACACACCGAACGAAATAATAAGAAAGGATTTGAATTTCCACGCAATTTGTTCTTCTTCTTACATTGCAATGAATGATGGTCGTTTTCCAATGAGTTGAAAATGAATCATCTTCGTGAATGGGGAATGATGACAAATACGTGCCTAACACGAACAAATGGCTCTACGACATCGTGCCAAACATTCTCCTTGCCTTTCAACAACATATGTATATCCGTCCGTCCACCTTAATATTTTTCATGTTAAGATTGTTCCTCCATTGGTTTATTTCACGAGACAACGTCGTTTTTTCTTGTGGTGATAATCACTATTCAATTCACCGCTTCTTCTTTACCTCGTATCATACAATACAAATAGCTTTTTGCCACCTTTTCTTCATCCAAGACGTTATTATGATCTTCATTTTTTTACCCATTTCTTAAATTAATTAACTTTAATCAACTGTTATTTTCGTGAATAAGCGTTTGAATACTTTCTCTCATCTAGTCAATAACGGGGCATTGTTGTCAACTTATACGTGAAGAAAATATGAGTATTGTAATAAACACCTTTCACTCAAAAAGCTTCATTGACTTTCGTCGCAATTAAAAGTTTGGCACTCTTAGCTTAGTGAATGAGTGGGGTTAGGTGATATTACACTAATGCAATCAATTTTGAGAGTATATTTGACAATTCACAGCATACATATGATAAAAGAGCATTAAAACCATCATAATAAACACACTTTTACAAATTTCAATAGAAAAAAAAATACTCTTTAATTTTTTAATATACTTGTTTTCTTTTTAACCGTGATACAATTTACTCATAGTCGAAGATGATGACTAATATCATGGAGGATTTTGAGCGCACTCAAGCGAATATTCTTCTCTCATTAGAATTTATTTCACACTCAAATTATCATCACCAAAATTTAACTTCTGAAACAGAGTTAAAGAATACAAGTTGTTACGAGTTGTGCCAACAAATACTTTAGTTAGTTTTTTAATAACATATGACTTTATTTAATGATGTATGTGGTTATCTTTATAATTTCTGTCTCTCGTATATTTCGTACTTTTCTCACTTTTTATATTTATTTATTGCTTATTAATAATATATTTTTTAATCTTTACAAATTATAAAATTCACCACCGCATATAAATATTATAAAATCAAAATCTATTATTTCACAATGCACGAAAATTAATGACACAATAAAAAGAAAAAACAAAATTAATCCACTACTACAAAAATACCAGTACACATTTATTTAAAGACAGATGTAACCAACGTCAAACCTTTTGAATAAACATGTCCGTGAATATTTTTATAATAAAAAATTTAGAAGAAAAATAAAAATTTTAAATTTAAATTAATTTATATATAAACTAATTCTTCACACTGAACATTTTTTAATTGTGTCCTTGTTGGACGTGGACCTGTTCTTTTGTATCTGTGTGGAAATGGACCAACTTGGTTACGTGAGTGGGTCGGATACAAAAGGGTAGGTCCATTTGAAGGTAAAAATCAAACTTTTATAGTTAATATAAATTATTTTAAGATATAAATAAATAGTTTTAAACTTAATAAAGTAAAAAATGAAGACAGAGAGAGTTGAATTTAAAAAGAAAATAGTATAAATATTAAAAGAATTGTTGATTCATAAAAGTGAAGAATCCCCAGTGACTCATTCATGTTATGCTTTAATATGGATAGTCATTGGATGCTATTTTTTTTAACCTTTATTTTTCATATTTTGTAATATTTGTGTAGAATTTTCTACTATTTGCTAACACAGTCTTACCATAAGGGTAAGCATGCATTTCACATGAATGTAATGGACAAAGTGCATATTACACTGAAATAAATAAATAAAAATTCCTACATTTATAAATATGTTATAGTAAAAAAACTTGGTATTTCACTAGAGTTATATTTTTCATTAGAGTACATCAATTAAATACTTTTACACAAAATTCTATTGAATTAAAAGTTTAAAATATTTATAAATCTATCATTCGATAACATTAGGTACTTTCACTAAAAATATTATCATGTACATGAAACTCACAAGACATGTGCAATGATATATAGTAAGTAATTTCATTTTTAGGTTGAAAATTTAATATAATATCAAAATAAAAAATCTAATTTCTTTTTAATTGTTGTCAGACAAAAAGTTTCTCTTGTGTTAGAAGTCTGAAATCATTTATGTCATGATATGTTTTAAATACATATTATACTACTATCAATTACTTTTATTATGTTAAAACCTTAACCATCATTACCCTATATATTAATTTCTAGAAGATATATACTTCTTTTCTATTATCTAGTGTTGAACATTAACATGAATGGTTACATGAAAACTATAAACTAGAGGAGAAAGGAACACAAAAAGGACACGTAATACTCTTAGCTTCATCATTTTGTTAATAGAAAAATTCATCTCGCACTTATGAATCATTTAAAGGTTAATCCTTTCTCAAATACTCCAACAAAATCTTACTTTAACTTAAAAATATATATTCTCCTAATTAGAGTTAGTTATATTGGCGCTATAAAATACACTTTTTTTTTGTTTAATGGTTTCTAGTGTAATAAACATGTTAGCCCGTATATTATTCAATGACAGAGATGGTAGCTTGTAAATTTATTGAAATTTCAGTGATCGACCTCAGAATACTAAAGATTTCTTCCTCCATTTTCTTTTGTGTGTGTGTAATGTAGATATTTATGAAAATTAGGAAAAAGATGTCATTATGATAGTTTAATTAGTTGACAGTGATTGAAATATAAGCAATGAATCACTCAATTTTTTAAGAGATTTGATTTGACCATCTTCTCAATTGCCGGCTGCATCTTCTACAATATTGTCTTCTCCATTATTAGTGTTAATTAAGGTTGTTTGTTAAAAAATAAGTTTTCCTTAATAATAATAATAATAAAATATTGTTTTATATATGTTTCCTGAAGCTGAACATTTGATGATATTACAGGAAGTGTCTCTGATGGTAACCAATTGTGATGCGTGACATCAAACACAGTGGTTGATTATTTGATGATAAGGACTAGAGAGCTAAAAATAAGGTATAGATATGGATTCCAATCAAACATAGAAGCGAATTTCAGGATCGTGTTTGCTCAAATAATGCATACATCAACGCTTGGGAAGAACTAGAATAGCACACCATCATAACCCCTTCAAAGATTCCTCTTTTACGTTTGGGTCACTCAGTGTTGGAAAAGACAAAATCTCTAATAACATTTGTTTTTTGGACCTCCTTTGCTTCTTATTTTAGACTAATCTCACTCCATTGGTTTTGGGTTCTGTGAAGTTATCAGTTATAGACAAAATGACTTTTTTTAAAAAATAAAATAAAATTTACTGGATACAGTTTAAGGAATTCAAAATTTAGTAAACCTGAAAATTAAGGATATCAATTTATCCATTAAGAAGACTTAGCAGTTATGTGACTCTGGTCAGAAGAAATTATTTTAAACATTTCAGAATGATAAGTTTTTATTTGAGAAAGAAAGTAACTATATTACGTTAAAAAATATAAGATTTAAACATACGTTTATTCTCTAAAAATTTTAGAGAATTTTATGTTTAGTTTCTAATAAATTGTGTCTTAACTTTTGGTCTTTCTGAAAAATATTTATTTATATTTTTTTCCTACCATTATATTTACTTTTTTAAAATGATATTGAAATATTTTTAGATTTTTCTTTTGTTCTTGAATTTTATTTTATCAGAATAATTAATATGGTTTCTATAGATAATGTAATGAGAGAAATAAAAAAAAATGGAGATCAAAAGTAAATAAAAAATATTAATGACTAAATGTAGAATTTCTAGATTGTCTAAGGCAAAAACATATTTAAATCCAAATATAAAATAGTTACTTTCTCAATCAAAACTTGCCTTTTTATATAGTCCCTTTTTCTTTTTCTTTTTTTTGAAGAATCCTTGTACTCACTCCTATAATGTATGTATTTGCAACATAGCATCACCTCTGATTGGAGTCCATGAAAGAGTATCTATAGAAAACTCAATTTTATTTACATGTCATGCATATGAATTTGGAATTTTTTTTTATGATTGACTTAAGACAAATGAAGTGTTGTTCACTTATGATGAAACCAGTAAAAATTAATAGTTCAACAGTGAATAATCATGATGAGGAACTTTTCATACTGCAACAGAAAGTCTTTTTGTCATTACATTGTAACATATCTGGTATAAATAAAGAAAGCTATCACTAGGAGGAGTTTTAGTCTAAGCAAAAAGGACAGACATTGACATATGAATGAGAGTACTTCTCTTTATTAATCCTTGGTCCTAATAATGGTAATGGAACCTTTTCCTCTAGTGTGAATTCTAGTGAGGGATGTAACTGTTTTTCCAGACAAACCAAAACTTCCTTTGACTAATTTGCATGGATGAGTCACAGAATCTTTCACAGGATGAGGAATTGGCCTTGATGTTGATGGGGTGGTAAGAATCTGGTGATTGATATCGTTGAGTGTTGTTTCCCCTGCAACTCCTCCAGACTTCACTAACTTAAATGGGTAAGCAATTTTTTTTCGTTGACCTGGTAACACCATGAGACAAGGAACAAAGTGGACACTGTAAGTGAACCTCTAAAACTTTAAAACAAATGAAGATGAATAGGCTGTGGAATAGAGAGAAAAGGCCATGCTAAATCAAGGAAGTTCCTTTCTTGTTTCAACCAAAGCATGTGATAAATGAAACTAGAACATCATATGATTCTCATTTGCCTCACCGGAAGCGTAGCTATTTTGAGCATGATCATGTTCGATTGCAGCTTCATGTTGTGTTGTTGTTGATGACAGACTTGTAGTACTCATGCTCCTTTTTCTGTGTGTAAAGCCACAATCTACAAAGGTGACGAGGAGATAATCAGTTATGTATTAACATAATGTCCAAACAACATTGTTAGTTTGTCAAAGGTGTGGTGAGTTTGTTTGATTTCAATTACTATGACATGATGCAATTCCAGACGCCACAGAATTTGCATCAAACAGTTGACAAAAAGGAAAAGAACAAATTGGTGAGCGTGAACATAGGCAGAAAAAGATACCAAGGCATACATACCATGAAGAGGTGGGGCTGTTGTGGAGAATATTGGAAATGGATCTATCTGATCATCCAAATTGTGAAATATCAGTGATAAGAACTTGAAAATTACAACTTAAACTCAGCTAAGCAGATGAATATAACCTTCTGATTCTTAGAGCAGGATGGTTGTTCCTTACACCGAGTACCCCTGCCTGCAATGGCATCTTGAAGGTACCCAGAAGATGTATCAGATTGAAACCAAGATTCTGATGTGGGAAAAAACACATTAAGATAAAAAAAACAAGTAAGACTAGTAGTGTCAAACAAGTAGAACTAATAGCATATGTACCAAGTGTCTGATCTGCATGAGTGGCTCCAATCCCCAATTCCATGGAGCTGGAGCAGTAAGAAAACAAGTTGTTTAGGTGTGAGTGTGACATAGCGGGAAAGCCTTCTCTTATTTGCCACTCAATTGAATTGGGTTTAAAAAAATACACACACACTAATATATATATATATATATATATATATATATATATATATATATATATATATATATATATATATATATATATATATATCAGTAATGTGTGCACTTATGAATGAGTATTTTGGATGAAGTATGTAAACAGTCTCATTAAATATCTATAGAGTGGGATGTGCCTCCAACAAGAATCATTTATTCTCGTCCTCATAAATATAATATAATTTATTTCAATTCTTATATAAATATATAATGTCTGTGTTCTGTTAATTTCTCCTTTCATTTATATTTTACAATTCTTCCTCTATGAACCTCTACATCCACTTTGTACAATTATAATGAGTTATAATTATATATTAAATATATTTTATACAATTGTACTGAGTAATAGTTCTCTAATAAATAATTCAATTCACTTGGTTGATTTTTGTCTTATTATTCATTTTCTGTATCATTATAAATGTCTTTTTTTTTCTTTTGAAAAAAATTCAATTACATATTACTATGATTATGATTGATGATATAAGTTATACATGAGAACAAATCAATAATTGATGATTTATGAGTTTGGGTAAATTATAAAATAATTAATTTATATATTCCCTGTGATTCTTCAAAAAAATCAAGTAACATATTTGTTTGTTGCGCATGCATTTGTTTTAAAAACCTAAGTGAGTGGATGAACTAACAAATTTATATTCGATATAACTCATTTTGAATATCTTTGTTAACATTCTTATTTCTTTATTTACAAAACAAAATTATTTTTAGGAATTTCAACCATTCCTTTTTGCTTGAAAAAACCATCCATATGACAATAAAATTAGATATTGTTCTGTTTAAGGAATCAGTATATTTTCGATCTTCGCTATAATGCTTTCAATTTTTAGAGGATGGTTGAATGTAAATAATAATAATAATAAAAAAAAAACATTGATACTCTCTTAATCCTGCAAAAGGCATGGCATAACCAGGGATACTAAGTTTTCTATTACCAAAACTGTAGCTAATATTTTAACAAATATTATATATTTACGAAGATTTGAGTGAATTATGTTATATTATTGTTTATGCTGCTGGCACATCTCAGTAAGGAGATATTTAATGAGACAGTTTATATATTTGTATATACAAACTTGTGTTATTATTTTCATAAATAATTTTTTTCTGGAGAAGAGGTTTCTTTTAGCGTCTTCTTTGGACAATAGTAAAATTGGTGTCCCTAACAGCGTTAGTTTGATTGATGGAGTATTTTATATTTTTTATAAATAATTTTAAATTTCTTTATATGATTCTAAGGTCGCGATTTGAATCAAAATAATTTGTACAATATTTATAAATAAATATGATTTCTCCTTTTTATTTATTTTATTTTAAATTATAGTAAGTTTTTCAACAACGAATAAATAATCAAATCCTCTTCGTTCATTTTTCTTTTGCCAATCTGGACAACTTTGAACATTTCATCTCCAGCCACATGAAGAAACTTACAAAAATTAGAGGGCACATATACCAAAGTAATATAAATTGTTAATATAAAATGATGTAGTAAATAAACTTTATATGACATACTTTTATTTTTTTATTATTAAATTTTGCATATCAACAATAAATAACTGACATAATTTTATTTTTATTTTTTAAAAATATGTTATTTATGAGATTAATTTTCATTTGTATTTTATTTTAAAAAATTAATACTTTTTATATAACAAAATTAATAAATCTTAATTTAATACACTTTTAATATTTATTGTTTTCTATTATTTAAATATAAGAGTTCTTATTATAGCTTTATTATGTAACACTTGATTATTTTTTTTATAATCATGTTATTTTTTTAATGAGTAATTTTTATCAAATAATCTTGTTGATAATTTTGATAAAGTACCTCTTAGTCACTTTTTTCTCATTCATAATTTTTAATTACATTAATTGAATCTAACACCACTTAAATATAATTTTATTTTTCAATTAACATTACATTCAATATAACATTTATTAATTGTCTTAAATATAACATGATATTGAAATTTTGCAACCAAACTTAAATTTATTATTTACAATGATTTTCAAGATGTTAATAAGGTGAAAATTTTAAATATTTGATATTTATATTTATTATACTTTATTTGAACTCACTCCTCCTAATAATATTTTTAATAATACAAAAACTTCATAAAAATTATAACTTATTTTTTTAATAATTTAAATTTTTGAATTTTAAATTATAACATCTCTAAAATTATTCAAAAATATATTATTAATCACTTAAACTCATTTTTAGGGTATTAAAAATTTATATTTATGTTGTGTTTTTTTTAATATTTTTTAATTTTTTTATAAAAGAGTTAAATGAAAATAAGAATTTCATATTTAATTTTGAATTATAGAACTAAAAATCAATTTAAATTTAAGAAACTAAATTTATTTTTATTTTAGGATATTAGAATAAAATTTAACTAAAATTTGATGGATTAATAATATATTTTATTACAAATATTAAGAAGTATATTATTTTATTCAGATGTATAAGTGTTAATAGAAATATAATTAATCACATCCATAATAATTATTTGACGGAAACACGTACTGGTATGAGTTTATATTTGTTTATTATGTTTTTTTATATAATTTTTTTAAGAGTGAAGAGATAAAGAAATAAAATTTTATTATTTTATTTATTAGTTTTAGTTGAGAAACAAAATTAAAGACAATTAAAGGATATTTATTTTTAAAATTACACATTATTCTATATAAATAAACGTGGCAAAAAGTTTTAAGAGAAAAATAAGCATATAATTGATGATATTTAAATAAACTCTACAATTAAAAAAAAAAGAATATATAATATTAAAATAAACAATATATTTAAATAATGAAAAACTTGTTAAATTTTTTTTTTATGTATATAGATTGTAGAAATATATTAAGAGATAAAAATAATAATTTTTAATATTGAAAATTAAAAAACCAAATTTTAATTTAAAAAGGTTAAAAGAAGAAGTGATTTAAATTTTGAGAATAAAATTATATTTTAACTCAGATAATATTTCTTCTACAGATTCTCTTCCCTTCTTTTGATCAAATCCACTTGAGAAACAAGAAATAGGGTTCTTCGTTCTGATTCATCGCTCCATGTCCCAACAATTGCCCTAGTCACCAACAACATCCCCAGTTACGCTTCCCACCCAAACCCCTCCTTCTTCCACAGACACTTCTCCTTCTCAATCTAACTTCCTTTACTTCCCAAAGGTGCTGCATTTATTTATCAATCAATAACAAAAGCCTGCATCTTGTATACTTGATTCATAGTTTGCGGATTAACCATAATATTTTTCGTTGCTTCCCAGGGTGAGTATTCGCTACGATGAAGGTGAAGAAGGCTAAAAGAGACGCACGTACTGGGGGAATAAAGAAAAAAAGGAACAGCGAACAAAATGCTGAAGTCGAGACACATGCTACTGTGGAGAACGTTGAAGGTAAGTGTATTTTGTTTTCATAATCATCACCCTTTAGTTCAGCTGTCTCTGATATAAAGTGTTTCTTTCAGTGGATAATGAAATACATACTAGTGACGCAAAGAAGAAGAAAGCTTCTATCAACAAAAAAAGGAAGAACAAGGGCAAAAGTCTAGTTAGGAAACCAAAACCGAAGGGTGCAGAAGTTGATTTGGAAGAGCAAAGTGGTGAGTTGGAGTTATGGATGGGGTGTGGGCCTGTGCTAGAATTTGAACAAGAATATATTTTGTTGTCAAAGTTATAGAACAATTTCTCATGCTTCTCTAACACTACATCGTAATAATTTTCTGTTGCTGGCATTGTTTCTCCCTGTTCTGGCATCTAATATAGGCATTTTTTTTTACAAAATTGAAGTTAACTAAGTCATTGTGTTCATGTTTAACATCTTTGTTCAAATGGTAACAGATGGAGTAGTAGACAATTGTCATTCTAATGCTGAGGAGATCCAAGACTTTGATGGGCATAGAGATTCTGATACCGGGACAGTTATCAAACCCTGTAATAAAATACATTTTCTAGTTTTTTTCATTTTTTTCATTTTGGAATGTAATGTTTGAATTTGTACATTCGTTTCGCTCATCAAAATGTTCCTGATAGGTAGGTCGAAGAAAGACAAGAAAAAAAGGAAAAAGGAGGTTCAAAATTCCCGGGAAAAGGGAGAAGGGTACAGCAATCATGAGGAGGTTTATACTATTTCATCTGGAGATGATGACTGCTCAAAAGGAATGAAAAGTATGAATTGTTTGTTTATCCATTAAGCGCATTTCTTTTTATTTGTGTTATACATATGGGATAATGAGCATATATTTTGTGCTGTCAAAAATTGTGTCATAGTTACTGTGTTGAGTTGCGAGTCTATTGAAATGTATTTTGGCTCTATTTGCAATAGTAGTTGCCATATTTGAGGCTTTCTATGTCAATTTTCATCTGTATATCTTTCTCATCATTTGCCCTCTTCCACCGCCACTCCCATGTTTGATCATTTAAAGATACCTTTTAATTTTATTCTTTCAATCTGTTGGCAACCTGGATTTTAATGCATCTTCGTATTTTTGTCAACATTTATAACCTATTTACTATTAATGATTATATCTAGTATAGTTTCTGACTGGGGACTTCTCAAACTACAGAATGGATCATGGAATACCGTCAAAGCAGACCAGGATTGGATGTATTGCAACATCAAATTGATGACTTTATAACTGCTCATGAAGAGAAACTGGAAGAGGTAAATGTTTTGACAAACATGCATAAAATGATAACAGAATGATGACGCTCTGGTCATATTAAGCACTGCTTTATTAGATGGACCTTTTTCTTCGGGCAAATTATCATGGGCACGTACCAATTTGAATAATCATGTTGTTACATAAACTAACCATTGTTTCATAATTTGGTTAATTTATACTGTTTTGTTGCTGAATGGAAGTGTTAATAAACCTTTTCCTGTGGTCATAATTATCATGGCATGAATTTTTTTATATAATATAATATTGATGTTGGCTAATATCTTATTCAATTCGAGTTCCATTTCCATGACGTTAAAATATAACTAATAAGTCCTTCATTTCCAGAAGTTGTCTTTAACATACGAATCCCAGTTATAGATGTCTCATTTAGTGTTGTGTTGCCTCCATGCGTTCTGCACTAGGTGATACTTTCACTTGATGGAGCTTGTATTTATTGAGAATGGTATTGGGTCCTAAAAGGGTGTTAGGATACGGAGTCGTTCCAATATATACTTTGTGGAGTATACTCAAAGATGAATGGATGTACCATTTGGATAATTTCTTTCTTTTTTGTCTCTTAACTGTTGAGTCTTGAGAGGTTACTTTTTCTGGCATTGGCAGCATAATTGGTATGACTTTCTGCATACGTGGTCCTTGCCACATGTGCAATACTACTTGTCAGGAAAGAAAGATGCAATACAACTCATGAACAAAGAAAGAAATTAATTCACGGTTGAAATGATAGCATTGATGCAGCTAGCCTACTGGCTATATTTTCATCACGATGAGTAATGCTAGTGACCTTTGTTACTGGAAACAGTGATAATTCTGATGAAATCTCGTTATCATTAAACGGAAGCATATACTTCTGGTTCATTGCTAATGGTAATAATTTAAGGAATAGAATTTTGGAATTCCACTCCTGTTTGAAATGATAAAAATTGCGTCTAGATAGGTTAGTTGAATGGATACTATGCTGGATATGTCAACCCTGGAAATAATATACCTTTTAAGAGTATTATTGGATTCACACTGAAAAAAGCAGATAGATCAACCTGTTGTTTTGATTGAATTTGAAATGGCCTTTTGATGCTGAGAGAAGTCTAGCCGAAGGCTCTTGGGGAGAAAAGAGTTTATATTGTTTATAAGCAAGTAATCAAACTTATTTATGCTGGGGGTTACACAAGTGTTAGAATACATGGTGGGCCAATTGAGGATTTCATTATAGGTTTACACCGAGGGTCTTCATATCCCAAAATTGAAAATGGATCCTTGTGAAAGAGCCACTCAATTTACATTAACAGCAAATCTTAACCTCTCCTCTAACCAACTAACTAATCCATTGATATTCCAACTATCTTAATAAAATTCTCCTTCTCCTTATATCCTAACAATATGCTATTTAAAAATGATTTAATATTAGTATGCAAGTGGAGATCAATTAATGCTAACTAGATTAGTGGATAAAATCTTTGGAAGCAAATTCTGATAAAGTATGAACAAAATGAAGCATGTTGAATCTAACACTACTTGTAGTTTAGAGTTGAAAATCGGGGATCATTTGATTCCACAAGTCTCAAAGTATCTTGGAGCTATTATACAAGATAATTGACTTCCAAGTTTAGGTGAATGAAATGACAAAGTGTCTTAGTTGTTATTTGTGATTCAAAAACGCTTCTAAAGCTTAATGAAATTTTTACTGCACAAAACAAGATTTGGTATATTGTATGGTATTATATGTTGAATGAGTGATAAAGAGGCAACAAGAGAAGGCCATGTTAGTGTTGTTGCAAACGTGAGGATGTTGTGGTTGTGGTGAATAAGTGGGCATAAAGGACTGGGTAGAATCAATAATGAATGGTAGAATATTGCTAAAAGTGGTTTGACGATGGGGGAAGACAATGAAAGACCCAATAAGGAGAGTGGGTCAGATTCAAGAAAAACTTAGGCAAATTTTTTAAAAGGACTAATCTAAATGGAATTTTGAGGTTTTGGTTTGTAATAAAAGACAATGCCATTCAAAGTGCATTTGCAGTATCTGACTGAAATGAGTTGTCTATGAATGTGACTATCGTCCCATTATGTCAATTAAGCATCTTTGTGAAATCCTTAAATGTTTGAGCTTTTATTTTCAACTTATGAATGAACTCACAATTTTTGGTCTTTATTTTTCTTTTACGCAATGATTTATTTATGCAGGAGAGAAAAGAAAAAGAAGCCCTTGCTGCAGAAGGGGGGTGGACGGTTGTTATACACCATAAAGGTAGAAAGAAAACTACTGATAATGAGACTGGAATTGCTGTGGGTTCGGTTGCTCAAGCAGCTGTGGAGAATAAAATGACCAAAAAGAAACGTAAAGAAGTTGGTCTAGATTTCTACCGATTTCAAAAAAGAGAAGCACAGAGAAATGGTATTGTTTATTTTATTTTTTTTAAATTCACCTAAAAGTTGCTTTGTTTGTGTCCAAAACAAATGTCAATAATTAGGGAGCTTTCTATCAATGTTCAAATAAAATTATTATTGTACAAGCTGATGCCATTTACTTTTCTTTTGTTTCTAATGAATTCCATAATACATAAAAAAGAAAACCATAATGTTTTTCCATTTCTAATTCCCATGCTTGTTTATTTATTTTACTTTCCCTAACTTCGGTTGTGCTGAAGATTCACAACTCATCTTGTTAGTAAACTAAAATTTATACATGAAAACATTAGCAAATCCTGTTTCTGCATGATTCATGAAATGAATGTCTTGCTGTGTTTTGACTCACTTAGGAATTATTTGATTTTATGTTGAAGCCTCTCTTGCTTTACACCATATATTGTATCATAACTGCTGTTCTGTTCAAGATTTTAAACCCATTTTGCTGATAAGTTAAGATTTTATACACAAATGAATGTCAAGAAAGAATATATCTGGATATTCATGAAATGGATCTCATGTTGCTGTTGGTTGGAAATGATTAAGGAATTATATATTTTATGTAAAAGTATCATGCTTCATACCTCATTTTGTTTCTTTGCCCCTAGTTGTGAATTAAAACTTAGTTACTCTCTAAATCGATTTTGCTTAGATTTTTTTTGTAATTGTTAGTGGTCAAACTGAGATTATCCATTTTTGTTTTGCTTTCAGAGATCATGACATTGCAGAGCAAATTTGAGGAGGATAAAAAACGCCTGCAGCAGATGAGAGCTGCCAGGAAATTTAGACCTTATTAATCAATGTTTTCAGCGTACAAGGTTCACTGTAGTTTTTATGGGGGATTTGGGGTAGTTATGTAATCTTAAAATTTAATTATCCTATAGCTCTCAAATTCAAAAAAGTTCATTTATCATTCCAATATTGTCGAAAGTATTTGTACATTGATGTAGGTGATAGTTATTTTATTTTGAGCTATATTTGCAGGGGTGGGAATGCTGATTCCGCTACTGTGACTGCATTTTAGTCTTGTTGGCAACATTATTTTAACAAATTTTCTAATTTTTAGATAGTTATTTAACTTGCAGATTCGACGATGCTATAGCTTAGAACAACTGTCATTTATCTACTGTGTCTCTTGATTCATTCCTTTCCGTCTCAATTTTTCTTAATGCTAATAATATTCAAGATTCGATATATTTCCCTTTGTTTCGTTCATTACCCACATGTAGCAATATTTTGTTGTTTTTTTCTTAGGATACTAACTACAGTGATTAGATCCATTTCTTAAGGTATATGTTTGTTTTTATTTGAATTTTTCATATCTAATTATATAAAATATTAAAAAAAATTGATATGCATTAGTTTAAAAAAAAATCTCAAATAATGTCAAACATAGGCAAAATCTATAAATCATATTATATTATTTTTTAAATACTTTTATATATATAGCATTTTTTGTCAACGAAAAACATTGATTTTTTCATCACAAAAATAATGTTTAGTTAAGATTTATTGTTGCTCTTAAAATTAGCAACCTACAACTATTGACTATTGAAGAAATCAAAATTGTTTATATGTTAAGGTTTTAAATGACAAAAGAATAAAAGATAAAACATATAAGATGCGTCATATTATATTTCTTACTCTGTAGATAATTCTTTTGTTTTTATGATATTTAAAAGTTCAATGATCAACTAATTTGATTATCTATATCATGGTGAATTTTATTAATATTTGTAAACGTAAGTTCTCATTTAAAACTTAAATTAATTATCTTCCATATAAAACTAAAAATATTGAGGTATATTTAAGCAATTGAAAAATGTTTTATTTAGTATATTAACCAAGAAATAATTTAAAACTATTTTAAAATAAATATATTAAATAAATAAATTACTCATAAAATTATTTATTGATTTGAATAATTCTGTGTTGAATTTGCCCCAAATAAAGTTTTCTTTATAATTTTAATGTGATTCAATTTAATTCAATCTAACTAAAATTAATAAATGACAACATAACTATTGTTTTTATTCGGTTGTTTCTTTAATTAAACGTGTTTTTTTAATATTAAATATATAGTTCATTTTAATAAAATTAATTTAAAATATTTAACAATAAAAAATAATAATAGATTGACTTGGAGTGGATTAAAAAAAAACTCAATTCAATTCAACAAAATTATTTTTATTAAATTGGATAATACTTTTTATCATATCCAACTCAACTCGTTTATTCTTCTAATTATTATTAATGTGATTTTAGAAATTTAAATCGTGTTAAATTACATCATAATGATTTGCAAAGAGTAGCTAAATTAAAAAAAATGGATGGAAAAAGTTACATGAAGACGTAAAGGAACAGTGAGAGAGAGAGAGAGATTTTTCACTTGATCAATCTAAAGATATATTCTTTTTTAAGCTAAAAGGAATATTGATATCAAGAACAATCATTTTCTAAGTTGTTTTCTAGTGATGTATTTTTAATAAACTAATTAATAAGTTAAAGAACTCAGGCAGGACATATGGCACTACCATTGCACATAACTCGTGTTTTTTCTGTGGGAAAACAACATTCATTGTCTCCGTGTATGTCACCTTTATGCCATATTCCACACCATCTTCATTTGTCACAATCTCCCTTCAAAGCTTATCTTTATCGAACAAAGCACACTCCATGTTATTCTAGCGCTTTCACGAACAATTCCTCTCTTGTGTACAAGTACTGTTTAAAACCTCGGGCGCATTCCCCAAAACAAATGAAAAATCCTGAATACCAAACACCAACACCAACTATAAAAACTGAACTCAACGTTCAGCTTTTGGCAGCATCAACTAACTATGGCAAAGGCACGCATTGTTGGAGTAGCCATGGACTTCTCTCCCACCAGCAAATTAGCCCTTCGTTGGGCCGTTGATAATCTCATAAACAGGGGTGATCAAATCATCTTGATCAATGTTCAGCCTCCCCAAGCTCCTCACACCCGAAAGGAACTTTTTGAGGACACTGGTTCACGTTAGTGCCACTCTTTCCCTTTCTCATCTATATTTGTTTGTGTTGTTTCTTATCAGAATTAGAGTTCATCTATATGAACAGTAAAAGGTCGTGAATATTATGAAATTGAATCTCTAATTCTAATTAAAAAAATAATACAGATGGTACTTGAGGAACTATATATAAGTTTTGTTCTTCATGTTGGTATAGAGGATATTTTGTGTTTGTGGTTTGACATTTTGTGTTTGGTTGGTTAATGGGGTGGCAGCTTTGGTGCCTTTGGAGGAACTGAGGGAGTTGAATTTTACAAAGCAATATGGGATTGCTAGGGATCCTGAGGTCATAGATATCCTTGACACTGCCTCCAAGACTAAAGGGGTATTCATGCTGTTTCTTATTGTGTGTCATTTTCCTCTGCAGTTAATATGTGAAGAAAGTATGGTGGTAAAACTTTGTGTGTTTGTGTTTGTGTTGGTGTTGTTGAAACAGGCAAAGGCAGTGGCAAAGGTGTATTGGGGAGATCCAAGGGAGAAGCTGTGTAATGCTGTGGAAGATCTTCACCTAGACTCTTTGGTTCTTGGAAGCAGGGGTTTAGGTCCCATTAAAAGGTATCATTATTCACCATTCACCAACCACCTCTTGTTATCTCCTTATTCATATTTTAGGAAACATTTTCACAACTTACGTTCTTAGTTTTTGTTTTCTAATCTCTCTTAAACACTTTTGTTTCTTGCAGGGTTTTGTTGGGCAGTGTAAGCAAGCACGTGATGACAAATGCCTCTTGCCCCGTCACAGTGGTTAAGGGAAAAAAACCTTCCAGTTCCTGAATTCCATTATTATTAATAATAATAATAATAATAATTACTTAAATAGTATATATGCATCTTATCTATGTGTACAAACGAAAATACTGTTGTTACTATTCAATAATTGTGTTTTTGGTCATGTTGTATTTACCTATTAGGATTAGTAACCATCATTTTTACTTTGTATTTACTCGTAGTGGTGTAAGTTATATAAATATTCATTAAATAAATTGAGTTTGGTTTGGTTTGGACTAGATAGAATTAAATATTTGGATTAAATCCAGAAATAAGTGCTTTGGGTTGGCCCAGGCTCGAAGCCGTGTCCAATTTTAAACATATACGATTCTGGGCTTAATTTGTCGCTGGCTAGAGATTAATACGAGGGTACTTTCTGCACCCCGTATTCAACTAAAATAATAATATTGTTTCCAATGTAAATAAATATATTTCGGATTTATTCTTTACGAGTTTTTTAAAAATATTTCTGATTGACATTTTTAAAATATTGTTGAAAGTATTTTAAAATCAACTTTACACAAAAAATTTAATTCATGATATTTTCGGAAAATCCATTCTTACAAAATTTTAAAAAATGTAGAGTCAGAACAAAATCCTTCCACCACTTTTCTTTACACCTCAGAATAATAATATAGATATGGTGGGGTGACAACAATGTTTGTAGAAGCACAAATGAATAAAGAGATACAGGGCCATAACACGCGAAAGTTAAAAATAAACAAGATATTTTTATCATTTAACATATCTTATAAAAATGCAATAAAAAAAATGATGATAAAGAAAGAATGTGCCTAATATAAGTTGTACTTGATTAACACTCCATTTTCACTCATGGCTCACGACACTAACGATGAAAATAAAACAAGTGTGAATGCAGAGTAGGCAACTTAGTGGACTTTTAGATTTTCGTTTATGTTTTCATTATTTTTCATTTCATAAATTGACTTTTCTAAAGCAAATTTTCTTTTATTTTCATTTAAAAATTAGTTTGGAGATAAACAAAACTAAGACAAAACATAGTTTGGCTCATTTAGTAATAATTAAAATTTGGTTTAAATTGTTTTAAAAAATAACAATAATGTTCCTTGCAAATCTTGTAAAAAAAGGGTTTGTTTTCTTTTAATATTATTTATACTATTTAAACTAAGAGTGACAATTGGGTAAAATTAGTTTTGATAATCATGGATCAGATAAAAAAAATCATTAACTCGTTTTATCATAAATAAAAAATGTGGTCTATCTTGATTCATTTGATAAAAATTAAATTTTATCTATTTTTTACGAGTACATGTCTTGTCCATTCATAAAAGTCATAAGAAAACAAAACAAAAATGTATTTTAAAACAAATTTCAAAATCAAAATTTGTACAACAAATTTCAAAATATATTTTTGAAAAAAAAATGATGTTAAGATATATAAACATGGTTAAAATATATTTTTTTATCTATGAGTATTGATGGAAGGATCTATTAATTTTTTAAAATAGTAAATAAGCCATGAACCATTTATAAAATTGTATGAATGAATTTAATCAAATATTTTTTTTAATAAATAGATTTGATAAAAATTAAGACATACCTGTAAATAAATTAGATGAATAATAGCCAAATTAATTGTTTTGTCATCCATAATTTAATTTAATTAAATTAAATATAAAATTAAACTAAATGTTATCCAAATGGAATATGTTACAACTCTATTATATTAGATGATTATAATAATTTTTTTACTGATAAATATTTATTAAATCCATTGTATTAGAGATTAATCCATTCGTGATAAATCAGGATTTTACACAATAAAATCAAACACGAACTTTTGCCTGAATAAATCAGAATTAGTCACTACTGCCAACCATAACTATTTCAAAAAGGCATTTAAAGCACAGATTCAGTATAATCGAGTTGTTAGTAAAAGTTATTTAAAAATAAATATATTATTATAAATTTTAGATATTTAAGAATTATAAAATTAGTTATATAAACAATTTTGTTTTAATTTTAAATATTTATTTATAAAAGCCATTATAATATATTCATTTTTATTTTTACATGAATACTCTTGTCTATAACTTTTTTAAAAATATTATAAAAAATAAAGAAATATATTTTTAAAAATAAAAAATCATCAATTTACTTAACCGACAATTTCATAATCATCGTGATCCACTCAACTCAACCCACCCATTATTATGAAAGAAATTTCCTTATTTAACCAAAATCAACACAGAAGTGCTTAAAGTCAAACTTTTAAACCCAATTATTATTGTGTCTTTGAAGCGTAACTTCACATCAACCACAGTCTCATCAACTCAAACCATCCATCAACTAATCATGCTTTGTAAGATAACATCTTAAAAATATCATTTTTTTTTTTCATGAATCCCATTATCGGTGTACTTGTTACTGTTAGTAGTTGAGTGTGACTGTCCATGTGGCATTCTCGTATTTGCTAGTAGTCACAACCTAGAACTGAGTTACAACTATGTTAAATATATAAAATGTCAGACTCTGATTATGAATGCAGACAAGTAATTATCTCTTCCGATTAATAAATACTTTGAATAGAAAAGGAATCATACAATTTGTTGATTATTATTATTTGATGGACGCATATATTCTCACAGTATAGCCTATCCCCACCTATTAACATTCTTCTCATTTCTTATTCCTTCCAAAATTATCTTTGACACCTTATTTTTTTTAATACATCAAACAATTATTTTCAAACATAGATTCCTGTGTTTCAGTTTCTCTACAATCAATTTCATAAAATCCTTAAAAATATTTTCATCACAGGAAAAAAAAACATTTTTGTTGGTTTACACTTAATATTTCTTAATAATTATGAACTACCATTTTAGTAACATTTTTTTGTTATCAATTGTGTAAAAAAATTAAAGACTATATTATAAGACGTTAGAATATGTAAATAAATTTTAAATAATCTTATTATTGATTTTTTTGACCAAAAATAATATTTCGTTTTAGTAAAATATAGACGTATGTTAGTTGAAAAGTTTGATCGAAACAGTGATTTTCCTCTGTTCTCTTCGGCCCAACTGCGCAAATACTGAACCTTGCAACTCTGCAAGACCAAAAGTTTTAAATTATTCTTTTTTATCATGTCTTACCTTTTGTCAAAAAAAAAAAAAAAATACTACAATCACTTCCTTTTTCCTAGTTTACAATTTTTTTCCTTTTTTTCTTTTTCACCCACGTGCGTATGTAATGTACCGTCACCATTCTCTCTCAATCATTAAAACAAAATATTAGCCATCGTTTTTTTTTGTCCACATATTTATTTCATACTAATTTGAACATTTTATGAGAATCTATACTGCTTAATACAAGGTGAGGTCTGAGGATTTTTTGCAGGAAAAGAGATATAAGACAGAAACTGGTGAAATAAGATGAGATGAAAAAAACATAAAAATATAATCGAGGAATTAATTAGCATCGTTTTATGCATTTAAACTTTATTCTTAATATTTAATTCTATTGTAAAACTTAAATTGCAATGAATTCATGCATTCCTTAACCATATAGCTAAATTTAAAAAATCGTTATATTGAAGTCTATGAATTGTTCAGTTTAAAAATGAGGAAAGTAGTAAAAAATGATGTGGTAAGTAAAATTGAGTGAAAGTTTTGAGACATGAATTATTCAAACATAATTTAGAAGGAATATAGGATTCAACGCTTTTCCCAGTTCCAGCTATGGTCACGAACTATGGGACCCTTATGAACTGGTTATTTACAAAATAATAATGATCCACGTTAACTTTCCATACACCACACGTTTGATTAGGATAATAAGAGACATTGTTCACATGCTTATATTGTCTTGATTGGAATCACGTGCTTCCATGAATGCAAAATTCCCTTGAGCCACAGGACAACTAATTTGGCTTCAATGGCTGTCATAAAATACATATTTATAATGCATTAGGGTTGACTTAAAACCAAAGCAAACAAGTAACGTAGAAAATTGTTTCTGAGACATTATAACAAGCATGATGAATACTACAAATATACAACTAAATAATCATGAATGATATATACATGTATAATAAGAAGAGAAATATTAGATGGTGTCATGGTGACATCAAAATAACCATTTATGATGCATAAAAAAGCAAAAGATTAGAAAATGGAAATGGTGTAAATGAATTAATAGAGAACATGCGTATTTGAATGGTGACAGAGAGTGCATATGGTGGATGTTGAATTTATAAAAGCATGTGATGTAGGAGAGAGAAAGGTGGCCACTTGCATTATGAAGGGGAAAATGGAACATTGAAGAGAGATATATGTAACCCTCAGAAAATGGACCAGTTTGCATACCTAGTTTTCGTGCATACCTTCAATGTCCAACAACTTTGTAAAATTATATCTTCTATAACAACATATAAAATGATAATTTTCACTTTTCTTACAATAGGATATCATGATATCATATTCACTATATTTGGTACTTATAAAATTTTGTAACTACTTTTATATTTTGGTAATTAAATTAAACTTTTTAATTAGATTTTATTTTAATATTTTTCTTTTTTTAGGCTCATCAAAATTAAATATGTTTTACATATGTAAAGTTATTCAATAGTAAAATATTATTTTATTCTTTCTTTTTTTATATTTAACATTTTTTAAATATTAGAAGCTAGAAATCAAGAATAATTTGTTATTTTCTCTTAATCTACCAATGCGACATTTTAAGATAAGGTTGTGACAAAAAAAACTCAAAAACTGAAAGATGAAAATAAATCCTAATAATATTATTAATTAATAAAAATTATACGTCACCACGTCACATTAAATAACATAGTTTTATAATTGGTCAAAATTTACCATTCTTATTACTTATCATATAACTATTAATCATATTGACTATATGAGAATGAATGGTTTATATTCGGAAGTAAACTATCAATAACTTTAGTTTGAGTTAGTTTCTACGTTTGATCTAATAAGATGAAACTAATGAATTGTTAGGTTGAGTGAGTAACTGAAAAAAAAATCATAAAAGAAACTAATGTAACTTTTTATATTGGTAAAAAGTTATATCGCCAACTCTCTTTTTTTCTTTTCAAGATTGTAAAAATAAAAACTTAAAAAACTTATTTATCAATAACAGATTATATTGTATTTTTATCAGATTGTATCATCGATTATATTTTATTTTTATTTATAATTTATTTTAAGTACAACAAATGAATATAATAATAATAATAAATATATAAATAAAAAATAAATAAAACAGGATTATAAGAAAAGTATTTTAGTTCTTCTTTCAACTAATCTATCTTTATTTGTAAGTTTTTCCTGTTATCTTTTTATTTTTCTTTACACCATTCAAATGAAATATAAATACTGGTAAAAAATAGTGGGTCCCAAATAAAATAAAATATCTTTCATGATAAATTTATTTAAATAATCAATATAAAAAAATTTAAATTAAGTTTGATCTAATCACAAATAAAACTCAACTAAATTACTTGGGTTTTAACCATCCAATTATTCAATATTTATTGATAAAAAAAAATGAAATGTATATAAAAATCAACACATATATGCACATAGGCAAGAATTATGATATACTAAATAATTTTAAAACACTTAATCTATTTTTTCTCATTTTATTTTCTTTTAATTTAAGAGTGAAATATGAGTTACTCACTATATAGTTAAATTAAAAAATAAAATAAAAACTTTTAAAATGACACATTTGAAGTGGTTGGTGCAAATTAAAATGAGAACTGGATATGAGTGAGTGGTGTGTGTGAGAATGTTATGGTTTGTGGAAAAGTGAGGTGGGGTTTGAGAAGAAGTAACCTAATTGTGAAAAAAGGCATAATAGAGTTTGAGTAGAAGATTGGTAAAGTATGCCACCAAAAGCTTCCTTAGATAACCACACCTTTATGAGTAGTTTGGGGTGGAAAAAAAAACACCATTTAATCTTATCTATCATAAACAATCATACCAATATTGAAAAAAAAAAAAACCCTCTCCACTCTTCTACAACACTTTTTTCTTCCAACGCCTCCTTTGTCTCATGTTATTATCAAATTGCTTCAAACAACATTGCGTGTTCATCAATTCTCAACGCAACATTTTTATATGAATATGTTTCCATTTTTCTCCACCAAACCAGCTTCACTTGAGAAACATTTTTCGGTTGGCTGTTTTCTTCTAAACTTGTTTCCATTCTCTCTCATTCTCTAAAATAACACATCATTGTCAAACTCAAATGAAGGCATCATTTTCTGATTTCCAAGGAAACGGAATAACTAAAGAAAGAAAAAGTGACACACACACACAAAAAGATGAAACTTTTTTTTCTCCCTTTATTCCTTTCTAATCCCATGGTATTTGGTAACAAGAATCTGGGCAATGTTCAACCCCAAGTATACTAAAGTTGCAGTAAAAGCTGCATATGTAGAGAAAAAAAAAAAAACTAACAAGCAAATTTCTCAAACTAAAATTAAAATATATACAACCTAAGCTAGCTATTTAATTAGGATGTCTTTGATTAATATGTTATCTTTGGTTTGATTCCTTGAAGATAATATCCGGTATAGAAAAATAACGTTTATTTCAACTTTATTAGAGATATTTTTTATGTAACTAAAATAAGTACTATAAATTATTTTAGGGATTATTGAAATAGAAACATATTTTTCGTGTTCCAGAGGTGAAGTTAAAAGGTAGTGGGAGTTTTTTTTTTTTCATAATAAAAACTATTTGAAAGAAAATATACACTCCAATATTATAGTATTTATTTAAATTATTAAAATATATTTTTATTTTATAGTACAGTAGTTATAAAACATTTTACACTATTTATTGAATGTGCTATAAAATAGTATTTTCATTTGTATATGTTTGGCATGCACATTGGTAATGAAGGAACACATAGCTCTAGGGTTAGCATAAATATGAATTTTCCCCCTTCCTTTTTACTCTACATATATGCCAATTTTATTAATAAAAACATTTAGTGAAAGGGATAATATTGTATGGCAGGTCAAGTTAGTGCCAAGTCTTAATTTTGATGGTAAAGTTACAGAGAGATAATAATGATCACCTAAATCATGGAACTATAACACTTTTTGGTTTACGCTATTGGGTCATAAAAGCCATCCTTTGCACCACTTTGTCATCATGTATGTTGATGATAAAGTTTAACCCTTTTTAATGTTTATTAATAACTTTTTTTCATCAGTTTTTTTTTTTCTTCTAAAAGACAACCTTTTCTCCTATTTTTCTCCTGCTAAGCCTATGGCTGCGCAGTAAATATTTTACACTAGGATTACTTTTTTTTTTACAACTACTAAAATTATTTTTTAAGCATGCAATTATTTTTAAGAAAAATCTGTGTATATAATTAATTTAGATTATAAAATAAAATCAAAGTATTTAATCGTCCTATCTGTACAATAACTTTACAACTTATAAGATAATCTTGGAAGAAATTGTTGAAATTTTAAACATATTTGTTTTGAAGATAAAATATATTATTAATTAAAATTATAATAAATGAATATTTGGGATATACAATTATGTTTTATATTAACAGTAAACAATTTATGAAACGACAAATTAATGTTATGCACAAGAGCCAAACAATTTATGTGTTTTTATTGCAAAAAAAAACATTTTCGGTTTGAATTTATCCCTTGACCTGTACATTGAATGGAGGGTATGGAAAGTAGTATTTTATTTATAATAATTAATTAATGGATAGAGGGGAGAGTGCAGATGTCCGTGAATGAGAGCGGAAGCAGGAGAGAGAAACCTTGACTTGACCAAACAATTTGTCTGCAGTTGAATTGAATTGAACTGAACACATTCATACGCAAAGTCTCACTTACTTTCTTAAATATCAATTTTTCCACAATCATTAAACATAATTAAATATCAACCATTTTCATTAACTATTGATGGTTAATGTTGGATAAAAATCTGATGGCAGAAAAAAAATAAAAAAAATGGGAACTTAATGGAGATGTGTCTAAGAAAAATGAAGAAACAGAAGCAAGTTTTGATTGGGAAGAAACAAAGGAAATAACCGTTGAGAGAGAGTGGACAGGTGTCCACGTGGCCACAAACATGTCTTCGTCACCCTCTCTTCGGATTCTCTGCCACTTCGTGCCATCGCATTACTCTGCAACGCAACACACTCTTCTTCTCTCTTTCTCTCTCTACCCGTGAATTCTCACTCTTTCACTTTCACACTACCTTCGGGAATCAACGAAACAACCAACGAACAAAGAAACAAAGACACGGGAATCAAATTCGCCAATTGAATCAAACACCAACCGTCACTCAATCTCTGCCTCGCCAATGTCGCTTCTCTGCTCCACCTTTGTCTCCTCAGCGCTCTTTATTTTTTCTTTCTTCAATTTCGTAACCGCTGCCACCGAGTTCGACTTTGGAACTTTAACATTGGGTAGCCTCAAGCTTCTCGGCGACGCTCACTTGAACAACGGCACCGTCAGCCTCACGCGCGACCTCGCCGTTCCCACCTCCAGTGCTGGCAGAGCTCTTTACTCCCGTCCGGTCAGGTTCCGCCAACCCGGAAGCCGCTCTCCGGCGAGCTTCACCACCTTCTTTTCCTTCTCTGTTGCCAATCTCAACCCTTCCTCCATCGGCGGCGGCCTCGCCTTCGTCCTCGCGCCGGACGACGAAACAATCGGCGACGCTGGTGGGTTTCTTGGACTTAGCGCAGCTGCCGCCTCCGCCGCCGATGGCGTCGGTGGCTTTATTGCCGTGGAGTTTGATACGCTCATGGACGTAGAGTTTAAGGACATTAATGGGAACCACGTTGGGGTGGACTTAAACAGTGTCGTTTCGAGCGAGGTTGGTGATTTGGCGAACATTGGGATCGACCTGAAGAGCGGTGACCTAATTAACGCGTGGATCGAGTTCGATGGATCGAGCAAAGGGTTAAGCGTGTGGGTTTCGTATTCCAATTTGAAACCGAAAGATCCCGTTTTGTCGATGAGTCTCGATGTGGATAAGTATTTGAATGATTTTATGTATGTGGGATTCTCAGGTTCCACGCAGGGTAGCACGGAGATTCACAGAATAGAATGGTGGAGTTTCGGTTCGTCTTTTGATGCTGCGGCGGCGGCGGCTCCGCCTCCTCCACCGGCGGTGAGTTTGATGAACCCGACGGCGAATTCGGTGAAGTCGGCGCCTCCTTCTTTGGCTCCTTCTAATAGTGAAGAGAAAGAGAGCAAAAGCAAATCGTCTTGCCACAATGGGTTGTGTAAGCAGAATTTGGGAGCGGTTGCTGGTGTTGTTACTGCTGGGGCATTTGTTTTGGCTCTTTTTGCTGGTGCATTGATTTGGTTTTACTCTAAGAAGGTTAAACGTGTTAGCAAGTTTGATTCGCTTGGTTCGGAGATCATTAAAATGCCGAAACAGTTTACCTACAAGGAGCTGAAGAATGCTACCAAGTGTTTCAATGCGAATAGGATCATTGGTCATGGCGCGTTTGGGACTGTGTATAAGGGGGTTTTGCCTGAGAATGGGGAAACTGTTGCGGTGAAGAGGTGCAGCCATAGTAGTCAGGGGAAGAATGAGTTTTTGTCTGAGTTGTCTATCATTGGGAGCCTTAGGCATCGGAATCTTGTTCGGCTGCAAGGGTGGTGCCATGAAAAAGGTGAGATTCTGCTGGTGTATGACTTGATGCCGAATGGGAGTTTGGATAAGGCTTTGTTTGAGGCAAGGACACCACTTCCCTGGTCTCACCGGCGCAAGATTTTGTTGGGCGTCGCCTCGGCCTTGGCCTACTTGCATCAAGAGTGTGAGAATCAGGTGATTCATAGGGACATCAAGACTAGTAATATAATGTTGGATGAAGGGTTCAGTGCCAGGTTGGGAGATTTTGGTTTGGCGAGGCAAACTGAGCATGACAAGTCGCCGGATGCCACCGTGGCTGCTGGGACAATGGGGTACTTGGCACCTGAGTATCTCCTTACGGGAAAGGCTACAGAGAAAACTGATGTGTTTAGTTATGGTGCAGTGGTTCTTGAGGTGGCCAGTGGGAGAAGACCGATAGAGAAGGATGCCAACGGGGGTGCTAAAGGTGGAATTACCTGCAATTTGGTAGAGTGGGTATGGAGTTTGCACCGGGAAGGCAGGTTGCTAATGGCGGCTGATGCAAGGCTTGAGGGCGAGTTTGATGAGGGGGAGATGAGGAGGTTGCTCTTGGTTGGGCTAGCTTGCTCTCACCCCGATCCACTGGCTAGACCTACTATGAGGGCTGTGGTTCAGATGCTGGTGGGGGAAGCTGATGTGCCTATTGTCCCAAGAACCAAGCCTTCCACAGGTTTTAGTACTTCCCACTCTTACTTACTAATGAGCTTGCAAGATAGTGTATCTGACTGTGATTATAATCACCATCTCTACTTCCACATCAGAGAACAGCTTCAATCTTGGAGATATACTCTGATTTTATGGAAATCTTTGGCTGGGACCAGACCATTTTTAATTATTGACTGATATAGTGTAAATAGAGAGAGATATGTATTCATTTGTTCTTGTATGTAAATGACAATAACATGCATTTAAGGGGCCGTGAGAAAGAATTTTTGGGGTTCAGGCAATTCTGCCTCTAGGGCTCATGATTAATGGCAGAGTGCTGGCGTACACATTTTGGCACAAATTAATTGGGGGGGTTCATCTCATGCTGCGGAGCAATGCAAGATGTTGGTGTGAAATGTTGAAGGCAGTGTTGGGAAAGGTCATGTAACTTTAGATAGATCATCGTTCTACTTCTAATTTATGCCCCAATTGTAGGGTAGGTTTACATTAAGCAAGCTTCCTTTGGATTATTTGAATTTATTTACCACGGTATAATAAACATAGAAATTTCTCTGAAGCATTCTCCTTCGCCCTATTCATGGTAATGCAGGTTTTGTGTCTCCCACTTTCAGAAATATACGCTATATTTATCAAGAAATAATGCCTCAGCTTTATATATAGTTATCAGTTATTGAAACTGGGGTAATGGGTTTCTCCATTTTTAGGCATATCTTCCCAGCTTTCTAAATGTAATTCTCGATTCTCTGGTGACAAATTATATACAGAGATGGAAAATGGTGTTGTTTCTTGCCTCTTTGACATTCTCGTATTATCTTAGGATGAAGCGAACAAAGCATAGCATTTCATTCTGCTACAAAAATTTAGACAAATTGTTTCCTTCTGGATAGTATTACATCTGCTTATATTTTGAATTAATTTTTAATAATAAAAAAAAGCTATCTCCAGAAACATGTTTAACAATTAAGCTAACTCAATATAATCCAACCAATTAAGCGAACAGATTGTTTTTCCAAATGGAAATTGTCCCAGAAACATGCATAATATAGGACTTGATCTTGTAACATAGCTTCTTTGACTGTTTGAAATGACAATGATGTATTACGTTGCAAATCTTCATAGTATAAAAGTATGATTATAGTTTTATTTTTTTGACTACTTTAGTTTGAGATGACAGCTTAACAATTTCTATTGATTCTCACTCTTCTTGACTCTTTTCTGACTGAAGTTGGAGCATACCAATATTGTATAACGTGTGACAGAACAATATTAATTTAGTGTTGTCCTCACTAGTGGAAATTTATGTTGATTGCGTTGAAAAGTGGAGTAACTCTAAGTCCAACACGATTAATAATTTCCCGATTTTGTACAACCAACAACATTGACAAAATTTGTTGCTAAGAACAATTTAACCTTATCTAAAGTGATCTTATTGGTGAAGGGAAATAATACTCAGCTATCCTCCACATGTTAGATGAGCATTATTAAACTGCAAATCGTTCTCTTAATAACTTTTAAATTCACTCCCTCTAAATTTAAATATATGTTAAAATTGGTTGTATTTAGTGGATTAAAATATAAGTTTAAAAATATTCTCAAGTTTAAATGTAAACATCATCTCCAATAAACATGATCACTGGTAGTTTTAAAATATGACTTTGTTATGATATTAGGAAAATTAAACAAATTTAATGTAAAATTAGACATTTTTTTTATATTTGAGTTTGGAAAAAGTACTGTTCATAGAATCACCTGGGCTTTCTAAAATAACATGACATTGGTTATGAATTTCTACCCACAAAACCCCGAATATCTTAATTTGTATCGTGTTTAGTGTATAGGCTAATTATGTAGTAAAATTGGCTTTTGAATACATAATTTTCTTTAAAAAAATAGTTTTATTTGAACTTACATTTTATATTTAAATATAGTAGTCTGTATAAATATATAATTGTAAATTTAATTCTTTCACAAATTTATGAGCAACTATTAATTGATGTGTTAAATAAAAAAGACTAAGCCCAAAATAAGAGAACACAACACTACTAGTCTCTAAGAAAATAAGTGCCAGAAAGCTCAGAAATCCAACTCTAACTATTCAAATTGATAAGTCTAATTTGATATGCACTTTGCAACAGTATTTTTCTACTTGTTTTTAAGTTTAGGGGAAGTATTGATGGATCGATTTTTAAAATGCCCAGAGAAAGGAGCATTCCACTGAAACTTTGGTTTAAATGATTAATCATTTCTCCTTATATGCTCAAAAACATAACTTGCGCTTGAGGATTACCTCAGACGAGGAGAATAAAGTTTATAGTAAAATTTGTGGCTACAAAAGGTTGTAGTCACAAGAATTGCTCTGTTCTGCATAATTAGCTAAAATTGATCCAAAACGAGGCTCTAACAAACACCATTCATCTTCTTCCTCTGCATCACAAACTTCTTCCAAACTGAAGTGATTTCCCTCTGTGTCTCTAGTTCACTCTTCTTGGCAATCAACACTTTGCCCTCAGTTTCTCCACCGTCTTCTCTAGTAACCTTTACGGTGTTGGTGCTGATTACCCTAGCAGGAAGCATCTCCAGCTCGTGCACCACTTTGGTGACATCAATGACAAGACGCTCCGCAAGGGTGCGAGAAAAGTCCTCCCTAACCACAACACGAAGCACTGTGACATGTTCTGCATCTGGGGGCATAGTGTATGCTGGCACTATCCATCCATAGCGCCTCAGCAGGTCAGAGATTTGGAACTCATTGAAGTGGCTGTGGTCCTTCAGAGTGAACGCCACCAATGGGACACCAATTTCTTTCGACACAATGTCAAACCTTTCTGTTTTCTCCAGTCCTTCCTTAAGCACTTCCATGTTGTCTCTGCAGTTTTCCATCACCATTTTATATCCCTGCATACCCAATTAGTCAAGTTCAATTCGTTTACGTTTTAAGTTTAAAAGTTTTTATACTGTCAATTAACTACTAGAAAAAATAATAATTTTAGTGCACACATCACAATCGAATGACATTATAAAAGTGCTTTTCATTTTATTGGAGAAAATACAAGTATGCATGACAGATGAAATAGAATGTATTGATGGCAATTCTTTTTTAATACATTCAGTCGTCATTGATTTAAGAAGTTGATGTTTAACTATAAGAAATTTTGATCTATGTTTTTGTGCTCAAGGATGTCTCAATACCTCATAACCCAATCGAATTAGTTGGTAGTACTGAGCAATAACTTGGCTAGAACCTGCATTGCAAATTTTATGCAAAACCTTATTAGTGATCAAGATGCATAGCCTAATTAGTGGTACAAAGGGAAAGAATAATTCAGGTCTAGTCTGGTTGGTTGGTAGTTATTAAACGAATGGAATTTGTCAATTACCTTTTGAGAAGTTGAGGGTGAAGGTGGGTTGATCAGCTCCAAGATAGTTAATGTGGAAAATGAGTTCCTCAGGAAGGTCTTCCTTGGTTCTCCAAATGACCCATCCAATTCCAGCATAGACCAGACCATACTTGTGTCCACTGACATTGATGCTCTTCACTAGAGGTAACCGAAAGTCCCACTCAAGCTCTGGATAAAGAAAGGGTGCAATGAATCCACCACTGGCTGCATCCACGTGAATTGGAGTGCCCCATCTACCCAATTATTCATTTCACACGTCAATTCCATGTCTAAAGTACCCTAAACTCGGTTCACAAAATAGGAAATAGTTAAGACTCGATCAATATGTACAACACTCACCCAGTTTCCTTGTTCTTTTCTGCTAAGAGATCGTTTAAGCGTTTGACATCTTCAAACTCTCCATTCAAAGTGGAACCAAGGATTGCAGCAACACAAATGGTGTTCTCATCCACCATTTCCACTGCCTTTTCAGGATCCATTACAAAGTATCCATCTCTTAGCTTCACCTCTTTCAACTCCACCTCGAAGTACCTCGCAAATTTCTCCCAGCAAACCTTCACATGAACAGAATTAATTAAGTTCGATGGCTTGTTATGAAGAACACATTCTCGTTAATAAAAAAATTACTGAAATCTATAAAATCAGAATAGCAACTCATTAAATAAAAACTGAAACTCACTATATTTTGTAATTCTTAATTTTCATAAAGTTTAACTAATGATAAAGGATATTCATGAATGAACACCATAAAATCGTACAAGGACTTTTCAAAAGCAATGGTTAACAATGATAAAATTTTATTGGCAGAACATGCAAGCGTTTTTGTGTACCTGAACATTGGCACCAGTAACAATGTTGGGATTATCACAAGGCTTTCCTTCTTGTTTTCTTTTATTCTGCCACCTCCTTTTGAATGCCAACCCAGCCAACATTATGGCCTCTGATGAGCCAACCGTGCCAACACCAACTGCATGTTCTGACTCTTCCAGTGGTGCATTGAAAAGGTGAGCTATCATGTTAACACACCGGTTCTGCATGCACAGACACAAGTTTGAATGCTAACTTTAGTTCAAAAACATTGTGCACGAATAAATTTTGCTTGAGTATCATCAAACCAAGTTTGAATGGTAAGATTATGCACTCTATAACAAAATCAGATACATTTTTGTTCCCTTGTTCTCTCTTCCTCCTCACGAGTGTCTACACTCCTTACAAATGTGAAATCATTTTTGTCCTGTATTTTTTTGGGAAATATTGCAACTTTCATCCATTTAATTTCATAGAGGAAGTATAAAGTAGAATATTTTCATTTTATTACTTTGGATTTGGTAGACTCCCAACTAGAATAAGCTCTCTAAATATAACAATGTGAGTATATTGACATAATTTGTTAGTGTAATAAATAAAGAAAAATATGACTTATCTTTTTTTTTCTTTGGTTAAGATATTGATGGTGCACTTTTTTTGTGTGTGGTAGGTATCACGTGGGACATGAAGAATAAGTTGACAATGAAGTAAATGAGATTGGATTTTCGCCTATTTTAGATTTTAGTTCCACCCTTCAAAATAAAACTTATTTTTTCCTTATTTATCTTACAACTTAAAAACGAAAATCATAACTTGCCACGTAGCAAAAGCGAAACACCTTACCCTCTCCAAATATGGTAATTAGTCACAATCTCAAAATCATTTCATCATCTCATAAAACATGTTCGTGATAAAATTAAACAAGAGAAGAGAAATTAGTTTTTGCAGAAAGATATTAGTGTGTAAACTAAGATTATTCATATAAATAAAATTTTATTTTATATAAAGACTATATAAATGCGAGGGCAGGATGGGTGAAATAGTTAATCTCAAATGTTTTTCTCCCATAACCCGGTCTCAATTGTCCAAACAAAGGACGGCCCAACGTGTTTTGATTGCTTGCCATTGATTAAGGGCTCACCGTTTTTCCATATGGGCCCCCAAATCCAAGGTCCCACAACTATGAGATATGGTTATGACAGAAAGCAAAGCCTAAAGATGACAGATAAAAATATATAAAAGTAAATTCTGAAGCTTAATTACACTAGCTTTTCACTTTAAAAGTTAAAAATCGAAAATAAACTATACATGAATTTAATTCATTTAACAAATTAGCTGTGTTATTTTTATTCTGGCAACATATATTTTAAGCACTTTCTTTATTAATCGAAATTTATTCAAAGTCCTAAATATTGATTTTGGTTGCATTAGAGTATTTCTTCTGATTTTATAGCTTTTAATAAATTTTAACGAATTAATATAACGCATTATTAAAAAGAGTTAAAATCTGTAACTGCTCTAACATCACATAGGATCAATCTATGTTATATTCGTTATATTTTTTTTTAAAAGGAAAGAAAATATAACATTCTGTTCAATTCGTCAGATAATAGGACTAACTCTGTCAAGAATGCATTTTTTTACCGTATTTTGTTGGTCACCACTTATTGAAAGAAAAAAAAATTGCAGAGTTGATTGAGGGATTTGTATGAAGAAAGAAAAATGATGTTGAGACAATTAAACGTGTTCAACAATTTTTTTTAGAGTGATATGGAATTTCAACTTATTCGTACCTTTATAAAAAAATTATTAATTTAATTATTAACCTTAATTATATCAATAAGTTATATTATTTTTCTTAAAATATGTTTAACAAATTTATTCATTTAATATTAAACACCTAATTAATTAATATTTAAAACGAGAATAATAATTATATATTTTATTTATCTTTTCTCAATTCAAAAAAAGGAACTTCTTAATTATCAACACTTATTTTTTTAGTTAAATTTATAAATTAATTAAAATATTTTAAGAAAATAACAAATTAATAAGATATTTTAAAAAGTGAATAAACTAAAAAGATATTAAGAAAAAACAAACTATAATAAAAATAGTATTTTAATTTTTATCCTACTCAAATAAATTGAGAATTATTTTTGTGATTCAACCAATACGATCAGTATTAGTCTCTTATAAATTAGGTAACGAATTTTGTTATATATTTAACATAACAAAATTGATTAACAATGAACTGAGAGAAGGATTCAGAAACGCAAATGGGATAAATGATTTAAATTGATTAAGATTAAGAATAATAACAAAAAGAAGAATGAGAATGATGAAATACTTGCCTGGAGTTCAGTGGTGACAGGGTATTCATCCATATCGACGTAGTTTTTGTTGATGGCCGCCATTATAAGTTTATCGCATTCAGGCTCCATCCACGTCGTCACAAAGGACGCTAGGTTCAATCTCGGATTTCCATCCAACATCAGCTCATCATTTATGATCTGATAAGCCGCTTCCTTCGGGATGGATTGCTCTCCCATCTTGAACCTACACATCCATCACCAATCAATCCTTCACTTGATGCCACAACAATTATCAATCATCCTAACAATTCATTCAATAAAATGCGTCAAAACACAGAGATCCACACCTGGGAAGAGAGGTCCGCACGTAGCGAGAGGCGAAGGTTGAATGGACAGAAGCGTCCGTATGCGAGGCAGTTTTCGAGAGAACCATGGCTCTGGGTGATCAAGAGAGAGAAGCAAGTAGTGTGTTTAGAATTGACGATGATTTTTGTTGTTGTTCAAGATTGTGAAGGTGACGAGAGGACTTAGGGTCTTAAATAGAGTGGAGATAGCCATGTGTAATGTAGCAATGTCTCACTTTCTTATTTTATTTTTTGGTGTTAGAGTTAGTTACGTTATGAGTCTAACAAAACACAAGTTTCTTTTGGAAGTAACCCCCACCCCAACAAACATGCATTGCGCGTTCTCTCTTAACCGTGTTCCATTCTTCCTTTATTACACAACACACTACACTACATCCCTACAAGGGATTTTTGCCTTGTCTTTTTTCAAGTTACTTATTCTAAGTTTTCTAAAATCAAATAATTAAATGTAATATAGTATCTAAGATTGAATACTAAAGCTGCTGAATTAATAGTGCATCCCACGTTAACTTTTAAAGAAGCTAACTATATATATATAATTTTAATAATTTTCAATCAATATTATTTGCTTTTAGATATATCATTGTTCCATTGTTTTAATGAATTAATTTTAGTAAAAACACACATGACACTCTGATATTTATCAGATTTTATTTATCTTACGAGCTTGTGTGCCTGCTTTACATACTAAAGAATAACGTTCTTCTAAGATAAAAGTTGTATTTTAAAAATTAGCTTGGGTAAAAACACACATAAAATGTAATTTTAGTCAATTTTTATTTTATATTTTTATAATTTTTCAATTAACGTATGCTTTAAACATTAATACCACTCCGTACTATGTTTTTGTGCTACTCCTTTTAAAAGTGTTATTTCTAACTATTCGTAAAGCATGCGCGTTGGAAACAAAAAGATTCATGAAGTAAAAAATAATAATTATAAATAGCAAATCTGTTATATATATATATATAAAAAAAAAGAATAAAAACATGAAAAATGTTAGAGACCGAACATGATGATCTAGTCCGAAAAATAATATCGAGTTAGTTAGTAAAATAAATTTAATTAATCGAATATTTCTTTCTGAGCATTCTCATTACATTTGATCACAGGAATAGATTTTATATTTGAAAATGTTACGTACGTATTTTATTCTTCTTCTACTTTTTTCCTTTTTCAGCATGGAAATATTGACGCTGCAAAGTTAATTTGCAATCTGGAAGCAAGAGAGAAATATTCAAAACGCTTTAAAATAAACAATATAGAGGAAGAAGGAAACCTAATCTTTTACTTATGTTTTCGTTCCAATATGCTACGTCAGTGGAGAATTTGGCATATATATATATATATATATATATATATATATATATTGTTCGTTTAATTTTCTTTTAATACTTATATAATTATTGTTTTGTTTTTTATTCGATTAATTTCTTAAAAATCTTTAAAAGAATGTGAATTTTTATAATTAAATATGAATATTAAAATTATTTTTCGGATCTAGCAGTGCTTCTCTCTTGAAAAACAAAGAAACAAAAAACAGGAAACAAAATTCGGCGTGGACGGCTTGAAACAAGAACTTTCTTCCTGGATAATGCAGTGGAGAAGGAATAACAATGAAGCAGAAGTAGCCTAGTGCTGCGGTACCAGTGTAATGGTTGATGCATGAATTGATTATGGTCCACGAAAATGAGAAAATTCCTTATGATATTTTGTCACTTGTTTCGATTACTTTAAAAAATGGACTAACACGAAACAGAATAAAACCTAAAACAAAAGTAGTTTAAAAATTACTTCGAATATTTTGACTAGTATTCATTGGAATTCAAAACACTAGAAAACAAAGATACTATTCTGTAGCAATGGCAGTGAAGCTTAGTCAGTTTAATTGAAAGACAATTCGGGTGATAATTTTTTATTTTCCTAATTTTAATATTACAAAAAGATGACATACTAGTACTTATAGTAATCAAGAGGCCCAAACATCCATTATACTGTTTTCTGAATTCTTAATAGGGTACTGATTCACAGACACCCAAAAATGTTAAATCCACCCATTCAACCTCTCATTCTCATTTTTTATTATTATTATAAAACCAATTTATCATTTTTAAATTTAAATAAAAAATATGAAATAATTGGTGTTGGGTGGGTGTTTGGAACTTTGAAGGTGTACTCCAAACATTTTCCTTCTAAATATTAGTAAGGACAAGCATTTGAGTCTACAATTTTAATAAAATTAAAAAATAATAAAAACAAAGTAAAAATATTATTTATCCCTTTTATAATTCTTAATATATTCAAGTCTTGGAAAATTAATTTTTAAAAATGTTATGAAAAGGATATGAGGAAAAAATGGTAAGATTGAGACAAGCTGAAAAAATTAAATAATTTTGATAATTGATTATTTCAATAATAATTTATTAAAATAAATAATAATAATAATAAACACTTTTCATTGGAATAATTTTATTCAAAAGTGTGATAATCATAATCAATTATAATATGAATGATTCACATAAAATTGTATTCTTTTGTAAAAAAAGTGCAAAATCCTCGTTCTTGAGGAGAATTGCTTGCAAAGTAATAATCATTTACTCACATCCTCATACATATGTAGTCTTTGCATAAGAGGTGAAAAGATAACATTTTAACCATATTTATCCACGAGTATAAATTATACCCAATGGTTAAGATTAATCATCCACGCAGTGAATACTCTGCACGTAGTATAAAAAAAATACTCAATGATTAAAATTGCTGCAATCAATTTTAGTCTTAAATACTTACGCATAAAACCAATTCACTTCTTTGATGCTCTGATCTCTTCACATACATACATACATACATACGGTCAAATAAGCCTCTACGCAAGACAAAATTCAATGTTTAAAACAATGCAGTAGGACGGATGCATAGAAGAAGAAAAACACAATGCACCACGAAGCCCAACGAGTCACAATTGAGCTTGCTATACAAGTAATTCTGCACACCCTTCAACTTCTGCTGCCAAGGGATAACATCAATGGCCCCTAATAGAAGGGGGAAAACATAGTTTAAAGTTAAGGTGATATTTATAAATCAAATTTCAGGTAAAAGCATGCTCATTCTCTCACCTACAAGGACCTTTATTAGGATCCGAACATATTTTAACGTTGATATGAAACTGAAAAAACCAGCTTTCACAGCAAAATCTGGAAGCACAAAAAGCAAAATTAGAGTGAAAATTCGTTTTGCAAGGTCTTTCATTCTTTTCCCTAGTCTACATGAAAATTGTCTCATCAACCAAACATCTTGCCCTACCGAGAAATACTTGCATAAATCTCTTACTCCCAATTAGTGAATCCAAATTAGTTACATTAGGGTTTTACATGTAATTCTCGCTCTTTACTCCCACCATTTTTGGATAACTAATAGATCTGGCATAGGTCCTTTTTCTAGATATCCCGGGTAGTGTAAGGGACAGATAGATGTACGGGTTTTAGGTATAGAAACAAGGTTTGTTTGAGCTAACTATTTGTAAGCATCTCTAAACAAAATGAAATAAACTTTTCTTTTAATTGAAATGAATTTATAATAAGAATTTTACAAAAAGTAGAAGGGTTTGTATAATTAGTTTCTCCTTGAGTTAATTTTAATTTATAGAGTTCATCTCAAAAAAAAAATTTCTCCCAAAAGTGTTTATAGATAAATTTGTCCATATATATTATAAATATAAACCAATATTTTAGATAAAAATTATAAATTAACCTAAATATTATATGATTTGATTATTTTTAATAAATACATTTTACATTAGTTTCTTTCATTAATTTCCTAAATAAGTTAGATTCCGTGATAGTCAATCATGACAAGCTTTCATGTTCACTTTAAAAGATAACAAGGGAACTCACAGAAGTTTGTTCCGAGTATTTTACATGATTCACCTTCACCATCCAATTTTGGACAGAGACTACCATAAACAGCATATTTGGTGTAAGTTAGCAACCGCATGACCCGTGAGGCATCCATCTTTCTAATGATAGACCTTATCATGGCACTAGAATGAAAAAAAGAGGATATGTTAACACATTAAATAACACAAATTTCCTGATCCGATAAAGAAAGTTTGAACTCTGTTTCTTACTCTACACGCATTATAGCTATAAAATCTGGGGGCAGAGACTCCATGAATGAATTTAAGTCCTCAAACAACAGAGATTTCAATTCGTGTTTCAAGGTCTCTTTTTCTTCAATTGACATTCCAACAGCATATTTGCTGCAAATTATGTAAAAAGATCCATTATAACTTTTCGATTGCAAGAAACATAGCAGAACAAAAACAAAAGGCAATGGAAACGAAACGAGCTCATTAATACAACAGTTATTCATCTTTTTATAAGATTGAAATCATTTGTCTCCAAAGCATGTCTCCATCCTATCACACTAGTAAAAAGTAGCCACATGATTTAAATTTTATGTTTAATTGTAAGTTGAGTTTAACTTACTCATTAAATAAATTATGTGACAATTTTTTATTAGAAAGCATAGGGGATGAAAACAGGTGATTTCTGTCCCTTTCTACATATATCCGTCTACGAGTCTCATGCAATAAACCATATCAACTAACAGGATCTAAACAAGCTATCAACAGAAGATAATTCATTTTAGCAAAGCAACTAACACCTGACTATAACTAATTTACAATTACAATATTAACTACAATAACCCCTGTTTTACCGCTTTAAATTAGTTAAACGCAATAATTGTTTGTAAAATCAAGACAATGAAATGAACAAGATCACACCAATTGCCGCGAACTGTGCATTATAGTTGTGATTTGGGTTTAACTAATTTGATAGAATTTCAAATTGCAATCTAAAAGACTTCATATGCGTTAATAAACAGAAAAATAGGAAGGAACCTTTCAATGGTTGTTCCAGTGAAAACGATGGGTAAGTATCTGGAATACTTCCCAGCACCTAATCGCTCACCAAACCAAATTGTTTTCATTGAATCCTTGAGAACCAAGGCTTCCCATAACTGACAGAAATCTTTTCTAAATTCTTCATCCAATACCGTGTAGGCTGCATGATCTAGAAGAACTGCAAAATAATTCCAATAGGAAAGAAGAGGTCAAGGTTCAATTCGTCCATGTTTTAAGTTTCAGTTAAAATCCAATCAGGGGAAAATGATCTCAAATACATTAGTACGTACCCAAAGAGAAACCATTACATCCTTCTGGGGAAACTAATATATTACCAGGGTGAGGATCACCATGAATGTAACCATGTACAAATATCATTTCAGCAAATAGCTCAGTCAGTGATTTTGCTACCTTCAGTAATAGGTTTAGAATGAATGAGTTAAGCAAGTTAGCACTTGACACTACAAAAAAATGAATGAGATTTTTAAGAGTTGATATTCAACTGATTAGGGATAGCAATCATCATCCATTTACCAATTCTGCACCACAATAAAAAAGAAATAGTCCCACCATAAAGAACATAAAAACAATTTACATTAATCCACCATAGCTTTGCAAGTCAACCTTTTCTGGATCAACCCCAATCTGATTCAGAAAATCCAAGTCATCAATCTGAAATAGTAAGCAATCTATTAATAGAATGTGATACAAAGAAATCTAAAGCATAGCACAGCTTGAATATCAACATTACCACAAGCAAACTGCAGTAACATAATATAAAAACCACCATGCAAAACTGAATCCGTCTATTAATAATTATATAAATCAATGGTTTGTGGCTCGTGTCTAAACCTACAAGTTACGGGTATGCACAAGTTCATGATATATGAGAAGAAGAGCAAAAAGCTTCAAAGAACAGTTTTGCTTCTTCTCAAATGAAAAGTTTCCACTGAAACTGTAGGAAGCAATAAAGCAGATATTTCGGAAGACAAACACATCTATTTAATAAGCAGTCAATTTTGGATTTCAGAATGTATAAAATCATGATGCCCTTTCTTTCTTTATATAATTCAAATGACATGTTTCTCTCCTCTAACACGAGGGATACCAAACTGCTTAAGAAATACTGATGGTATATAATAAAAACACTCATTTTGTTTAGACCTCACTCGTGGATCCTCAAAAACATACTCAATCAAGGAAGACATACAAGGTAGCAATAGTATCAAATATAAGGTGTTTAGACTTCCTTTGAAAATCAATATCACTGAAGGGAGAATCTTATGAATCATGGGCTTAATGAGGATGTTGTCGAGCATTCAAGTGGGATACAGAATAACTACTAAAGTTCCACATAAAATAAAACAGTCAAAACCAAGTTTATAAATTTAGAAGGTTCAAGTAACTTGAGCTTAACCAACTTTGAACCGTGAGGTTAAGCCCATTCAAGTTGTGTTATACTGTATAACTTTTCTCGTCAGCAATATATATGATTTTCAGAATAAAAAGAAAAGAGGGCAACCAAGCGCACAACGCTCCCACTTGATGAGGCCTAGGAAGGGTAGATGTATATTGCCTAGTCCCGACGGCGAAGAGGCTGTTAGCAAATCTTCAACCCATGAACACATTACAAGGTAGCAACCTTCATGGTTGTGTCAGGCTCATCCTCGATATGATGCTCAGAATACTAAACTCTTTGCACAATGCTTAATTTTCATTTGATTTTAGGTTCATTTGTCTTTAAGTTTAGGTAGAATAAAGATTGAATAAACTGATATTGAGAGGATTGAAGTTAAGAAATAAAAAAACTTATTTGTGCTTAGGAATGTTCTAAAAGAGAGTTTAGAAAATTTTGTTCGTGTTACAAACCAAAAATTATAAACTAGAATTTAATAGAATAGAACCACACAAACAAACCAAACAATTTTATTGAGAAAAGGAGAAGAAATTCTCCTTCAAGAGTTCCTCTTCACAAAGGGTTTATCCTTTTACAAAGGATTTCTCCTTTCTTACAAATCTTCCAAATTTCTAAAAGAATCCTGCCATCCTTTCTCCCTGTTTATATCTAATTATCCCCTCCAACTAACAAAGTAGCCTAAACAACCTTCCCTTCTATCCTAACTCTTAACAATTAGGATGGTATAGTAAATAACTTTTAAAGTGTAAATATAGATATATTTTGTAGTTATTACATCCAAACTCAATTGTTGTCAACTGAAATTAAAAAACTAAATAAATCATTTATCTCAGAATCAATTCTACTTATCACAGAATTGATTTTGAACATCTAAAAGAAATTACCAAATACATTGCTCTACTTTGTAAATTGCTACATCGCTTTGTAAGAATGAAATGTAATTCTGGCATTATCCAAACAGGCTATAAATTGACAAGACCACAATAAACCTCAGTGACTCCTGATTAACAAATTATTAAGAAGAAATTTGGACATATTAGGGATGTTAATGATATAATATATGTGTTATCATAGAACTAGTGCAAAGATAATTTCTTTCTCGGCATAATCATGTACTGACATGATTGATAAGTCGTACCTTGTGTCCTGTATAAAACTGCATGGTTAGGACAAGCCTTGTTGTCATGTCCTGCATGTATGCATAAGTAGATGATAACTTGGTAAGTGGCACATTATTACTAAATAGATAGCTCGTAGGAGGAACAAAAACGACTACAATAATCATACCCAGAATACATGAGGAACTCTGACCATTTTGTTATTTCTTAAAGTTTTGGCTGCTATTTCAGAATTCCTTGCCTCCTGAATAAAATCTGCAAGGAAGTAGTCTGGGACTCAGGGTATATATCTCATTCAGTCAGTCACCTCAAGTTCTGTGGCTTCTCTCTCAGAATTGCTTGTCTCATAAGGATAACTTTACAATATTTTCAAAAAATACTAATCGTGTCTAGTAGGATAAACTAAAATCAAGACTACCTATCCTTACTTGCATCCTTAGCTTAAATACTAAACAGAAACCAGTGGCAGGAATAAGAACATGTAGGCAAAAGCTCCATAATATGCTAACTAGGCATTAAATAAATTATTATAGAAATAATGACAGAATGCATTTTTCATAGAGTAACTAGGCATTCTTACTAACCAAGTTCTGAAGACAGAGACTTAGAAAATGCTAATGGTAGCCACTCGAGCTTGTATTGAGGGTATAACTGCAATCAAAGGAAACAATATTAAAGTAATGAAGCAACAACAACTAGAAACTTGATAATATTTTTAGCATAAAAAAGTAACAGAAAAGAAAAGAGAATATAGACAGTACATTACATTCAATAAAATCTCTAGATTTCAAGAAAATTATACATTCCTATGGTTTTTTATTCCTTTTTAGATCTTCTTCTCAACAAAGAAACTTACTGTGAAAGAAGACCACAAAGTAGGGGAAAGAATGGATGCTAAAGAGGAAAAAGAGAAAAAAGGAAACACATCTTCTCAAAAGAGCATTCGAGTACCTTTGCTATACAACAACAAATGAATTATTTCATATTCCAATACCTTTGCTATAAAAGATAATCTTAGAAAATGGCCTGCTTAACTCAATCCAAAAAACCCAGCTTGACCCTTGAAGGGGTTTGGATCCTCTGTAGCAGTTCTACCTCTCCAATACTGATTTCAACCATTGGCTTTATATCTAATGCTTATTAAAATTAAGTATATAAAAAAATTGATTATGTAAATCAATATGAAAGATAATATATTGTTGTAGGGACTGCAAGTAGAGGATCCAAACTCCCCTTGAAGCTGCAACTAAGGTGGGCTGACCACCTTAAATAGATAAAAAATTCAGGAACTTAACGGCTCCTTCATTGCCATTTCCAAGACATTGACAATCAGACTTTGATATTAATAAACACATAAACACAAGGAGAACCCACCCTTAAAAGCTAGCAATTCTCGAGGGGGGGAAACCAAGTACTTAAATACTCTATTGAGCATCCAGTACTACTCGAGGTGGGACATAAGCACCTCCTAATATCCAAGTCTCTATTAGTGTGACACTCTAATTATTGTTGCACATTAGTTGAAAAAACTATCAAGAATATCAGCATTAACACTAAAACATGAAATTTTAGGTGGCTACATGAGTCAAATTAGATTAATTCAATTTCAAAAAAATATAACACAAAAAGAAAACCAACAAGGATTGGATTTTTAGATTTGTTTTTAATTGGACCCAACTATGCTAAAATACCAAAGCAATATAGGTTTGTCAAGTTGACCTAATCCAATGAGTACCCCCAAAATATTTTTCTTGAATGCAAGAAGATGGTTCTTAGGTGAGACACATTTTTGGGTTCTACATTCAGTTTTGATTTAACAGATATGAGAACCTAGATACTCTATTAACAATTTCCATGGTACCACCAAACTATATTCCAATTGTTCAGGGGATAATCGAAGTTTGTCCAGTATTAAGTTCAGTGCCTTGAATGTTAATGGCACTTGAACATATATTGTTCTTAACTAATCAATAATGACTATGGATTATCATATTGAGATGGTTCAATTCTCAGGTAAATGTCACAATAACCAGTTTCCTTTTGGTTCTCAATTGTATTGTGTTTTATTCTAATCACTTTTGCTATCAATAATCAAAGTTATATAATGATCATCAATCATCATTCCAGACATTTAGAAATATCTAAGAATAATACCAATTACACCACAGTTTCTTCAATATATTTTGGTAAATAAGAACTCTCAAGAGTCAGAGCATACCCATGCAATAGTTTTCGATAGGATATACATCGTTCTTGTATCAAAATTCATCTGCTGCTCTATCCAAGGATATTGTACCTAGGTTCCAATGAAAAAAATGACTTTACAATTCAAGAATTGTTTTTCCAAATTTAGCTTACCTCAATACAAAATTGTATTAGCAGAAAGCATCGGTTATAGAAATCTTGATTATCAATTTAGATCATTTGTCATATTCAATTGCATTTGTTTCTCTATATTTGTGTGACAAGTGCAGCCTCCTGGTCTCTGATATTTTGAACATTAACTTGTTAACAAAGTTGTCAAACTCGATAATTTACATAAAGTCCTAAAGATTTTGTGAACTCAACTCATAAATTCAACATATTTCAAGTGTTTACCTAGTATAAAAATATATATATATATTACAGAATCTATCAATGACATAAATGCATAACGAAATATTCTCAACACAACAATAATTCAATATTTTCACTTCATGATAAACCAAAGTACCAAATCACAAGAATAGAGTATAATAGTACATAAGTGCTAAATAAGATTAAACTACATTGATGACTAAATCATAAATAAAGTATAAGTTCTTCAAGTGAAAATAATTCAAAATGGAGTTAAATTCTTCAAATAATTTGAGTCCAATAAAACACTATCATCGTGGGTAAAAGTTAGACAAAATTACATATGATTTCAAACTTGTTAACTCACTCATGACTCAAGTGCCTATGTGAGTTTACCCAGAGTTTAAAATGTTTATCCAAGTTTACTCCGAAAAAAGTTTGTTAGTGAGTTTACTCATTTTCTCTATCTAGGATAGTAAACTCATAATAGTTCAAGAGTTAACTCCAACGCTTGACAACCTTGCTTGTTAGAATATCCGTGTCTAGTATCCAGTGCAGAGTTTGATAACCTTGCTTCATAGAAAGTATCAAGAATTCAAGAAACTACTAGCATCACATACAAACCTTGATGGCTACTTCATAACCACTTTTCAGCACTGCACGGTGAACTTGAGCAATAGATGCAGCAGCTATAGGTTGTTCATCAATTGACAAAAACCTGTAATCACAAAAATTCAAGTAGTAGTGTTAAAAAATCAAACAAAGACCAACGTACACACAATAAAAAAAAAAGAATAATGAACATGGGGATTTAAAGTTTGGCAACTGAATATTGATATCAGCAGCCTCATAGGCAGGTCTAACACAACAACATTAGCTTATGCACACTTTTAAGTCCAAATGCCTCTTGCATGAGAGGGCTTCTTCGAAATACAAACCATTTATGCAACTCCGCCTACCAGGTTTTTGAGGAGATTTAAATTTTGAAAGATAATTGATTTTGTAAAATAAAAATTCAGTTAGTAAAGGCCACTTACATATCAGAGAAATCAGGTCCGAAACTATTCTTTAATACTTCCCCGACAATTTTAAAAGGAAGAGGAGCGACCTAATGTCATCAAGATATTCCAATTAGCAAGACAATTAACCAAAAACAAAGTGAAATTGAACTTAAATAGAGTTTTATTTGAATAAACTTATCCATAAATACTTCTGGAAAAAGAAAATAAGAAAGACAAATGGAATTAATTTCTTTATGAACTAAATTCAGTACGTGTATCAGGTACAAATTATCTTCCAAAAAAATCTAATATAATAAAGTTTTTACAAATTAACTTCTGCAAAAATTATGTTAACTTATAAAAGAAACTCGTTTCATTTTACCTTCTTGTTTTTTCTCTTATAAGTGTTTTTAAGATAAACTTATCCAAACATGTCCTAAATTCACTGAGATATACCCGGTCCTGTAACGAAGACAAAGTGGACGAGTACTCTCTAGGAAGCACTTTCTGCGCCGCAACGAACTGTCCAGCCTTCACATAAAACCCTTTGTTGACTTCGCATAACTTGAGAAACCTCTTGGCAGAGCGTAGATGCACCTAAGCACCAAAACGATGAGTTCAAAATATCAGCGCAGCATACAATCCAAGTTATTCTAACCAACGATGATCCCATTTCGATTACAGTTCTCGTAGCCGATTGAACCAAAGAGAATGATTGATCATTGTAAAGATGGCGAAAACCTGAGAAATCGTTAGACGGTACTGGTCGGAGCCCTTTTGAAGTCCGCGCAAAGAGAATTCGTAGTCAACAACAGTGGAAGCGACCTGAGAGATCGAAGATCGAGGAAACAGAGAGAAGTGTAATCAAACAGTGCGAAGAGTTGAGTGAGTAAAAATCGAGCAATGGAAAAAATCGATACCGTTGAGACGGCACGAGCGGTGCGGACGAGGCCGCGGATTTCGGCTCCAATTTTATCGGCGGAGAGTGCCGATAGAGGAGAAGACACGGCAGAGTTGGTACTTTGTGCGACGGCGGCAGTTGCGGCTAGGAGGAAAAGAGCGGTTGTGCGTTTGGCGGGAAAATTGAAAGTTTTAGGCGTCATTTTTTAGCAACGCAGTTTCAGTGAAGGGTGTTCCGATGTATGGATTTTAGCAACGCAGTTTTGAAGACTGAAGCTAAATTTTCGAGCAGAAGCCATTTTTTTATCCGACGTAAGATTCTAGTTGTTTTGGAAATAATATTTATTTTTTTCGAAATATTTGTACGTTTTTTTTTTCAATTAATTCATTTGAAAAAAAAAAAAAACACTTGTTAGCATGTTTAAAAAGGAACTCTTGTTAACTTACATGATGATAGTGTTTCTGGTAGAATTTTGATCGATTTCGAGTTCTAGAGAATTTTGTTCTAACCAAAACTTAATCACGTAGATTCTTTTTACTTAGGCTAGTGTTAGTAGGAAATCGAGAAAAGCGATCGAAAAAAATGAAGGAAAGAAAAATCGAGAAACATGTGATTGATCGGTAAAACGAAAAGGTAGATGAGGAACCATTCGATGTCCAATTAGAATGGCATGGCACATAAAATCGAAAGTTAGAGTCGAAATCAGAGAAATAATTGTCAAAAGTTTATTGTGGAACAAACCAAGAAATTAGAAGCATATGATGCTAAGGTAAAAAGGAATCAAAAGTAAATCCAAAGTTCTTGATAAAATCGAAGTCTAAATCGAAAGAAAGGTTAACCCGCACAAAATCAAAATCATGGCCAGATCATAAAGAGGAGTTAAACACGTATATAGGAAACAGTTTCTAAATCGTAGCAGAGGTTGAAGATCATGGGAACGTGGGTGCAGTTTTGACACCACAGAAGAAGAAACTGCAAAACGCACGAAGAACGTGGTAGCAGTTTTGTTAACTGCCCCTGGAAGGCTTGAATGATGCCCTATAAATAGTACAAAGGAGGAAGGAACAGAGAGTAGAAATTGGCAGAGAACAGAATTAGTAGTGAAAAAGTCTACCGGAGAAACGACGAACACCATGAAGCTTCTGGCAATCTGGGTTTCTATGCTCACGGAGTACCTTTATCGCTTTTTGTATTTTTCTTGGTAATTTACTTTGATGCAATTTACATTCAGCAGTTTTATATTCCTGTATTTTCGATTCCTTGTCATTTCAATTCAATGAAAGTTTAAGTTTCTGCATTCAAGTTTCCCTGTTATTTGACATTCTGCAAATTTCCTGTCATTTACTTTTCTTGCAATCTCGATTTCTTGTCATTTATATTCGCGCTATTTTTGATTTCTTGTCATTTACAATTAATGCAAATTTGGGGTTTTCGCACTTTACATTTCCTAGCAATTTAAAATTCTGTTTCTCGATTCGATACTTTTTACTGCTTTCGGTAGCCTAAATATAAAATACTAAAAAATAGCATTTTGATAGGCTGTAACTTTCGATTCTCATACACGTTTTCGATTGAAAGTCAGACTGCTAGCCTAAGTAAAAAGAACTTACGTGGGAGGATTTTGATTAGGACCAAATCACCTTTAGAATCGAAATCGATCAAAATTCCACCAGAAACAAATTGGCGCGCCAGGTAGGGGCGTGTGTTGAAAAAACACAATTGGTTAGTTCGAGAGTGTATGAGATTAAGGAGTGGGAGAGTCATGAGTCAGAATTCATCAAGTAACCAGAGTAACAGTGAGGGATTAAATGGGTCACACTCATCAAATACTGGGGGGCAAAGTCATAATGGGAATACACCTGTAGTATCGACAGCTGTAAGTATGTCGATACCCGTGAGTAATGAACAAAATTCAGGCACTTTAGCAAATACCCAAGTAGGATCTAGCACGGTGGCACTAAACAGTATGCCAACTATGGGAAACCCTATAACAACAAATGTTGGGTCGTATATGAGTATAAGACCACCTGGGTTTTCGCTTAACATGAATGGGGTTGGTACTTCTTCGCTGCAACGAAATTCGAGATATAACTTAGGAACATTCCAAACCCTAGGTATGCCACAGAATTTTGGAGCATCTCCAAACCTAGGAACATCTCAAAATTTAGTAATTCCCCAGAACTCAGGGAGTGTGCAGAATGTAGGAACGCAGCAAATACCTCCAAATCTATATCATAGAGGAAACTTAGATCATGGGAGATATGCGTTCGATAGGGATTATCATCGATCTAATTTTGATACTATCGAAAATACCGGTACTGGGATATTCAATAACTCATTAGGGATACTTAGACAACAAATGGATGAGAGCAATTTTGAGATAGTGAATATGTTATCTCAACAGTTGACTACAGTCTTGAACCCATTAGTTCAAAACACTACAGCTAGTTTTGAGATATTAGCAGATCAAATGTCACGAATCGGGGATGCATTGGCTGTACCTCGACGAACAAGGGTAGAAAATCATGCTAACCAGAATGCCAATATCAATCCCCCATATCTTTTAAGGAGAAATCGAAACAACGATCAACAAATGGGAAATGAGTACCAACACGTGAGGAATGACATTTATGGGAATTTGAACGAAGGATTTCAAAACGTACACAATCAGAATAACATGTTAGGACAAAGGATGAATTTACAAGGGATGGAATTTAGACCACCCAATCAGACATATTTTGTGTCTCCCTTTCCGAATGCGATTCTCGAGACAGAATTTCCCCGAGGATATAAAGTACCCAAATTCACTAAATTTGCTGGAGAAGTTGGTGAATCGACGATCGAGCATGTGGCTCGATATCAGATCGAATGAGGGGATTTAGCGATGAGTGAAGAATTAAAGATGAAATATTTTCCCAGTTCTTTGACTAAGAATGTTTTTACTTGGTTCACTTCGTTACCGCCCAATTCGATATATAATTGGTTGCAGTTAGAGAGAAATTTTCATGAGCAATTCTTTAGAGGAGAAACTCAAGTAAGTCTCATCGACTTGATGAATATAAAGAGATACAATCATGAAAGCATAGATGATTATTTGAATCGATTTAGACAAATGAAATCGAGATGCTTTACTCAAATTCCTGAATATGAATTAGTCAGAATAGCCTCTGCAGGCTTAGAATTTTCGATTAGGAAAAAGTTAGTCAATTTACCATTAAATGACATGGCTCAGTTAGTTGATAAAGTGAGAAGAGTAGAACAAATTGAGTATGAAAAACAAAGATATAAGAAATTTGAGAAACCCTTGAAAAAAGAAAGAGTAGCATATATAAATGATGTGTATGAAACAGATCCCACGACAGAGAATGAGGTGGAAGAGACTGTCGATGAGAAAGTAAATATAGCAGAGCTCAAAGTAGGAGCCCCATATATCTGTAAACTGCTACAAAAGAATGAAGTGAAAGATAAGATGGCAAATCGAACATATACTTTCGATGTGACAAAAGCTGATAAAATCTTCGATGTTTTATTAAAAGACAAACAAATTAAATTGAGTGAAGATCATAAACTGCCTTCGGCAGAACAAAGGAATGGTCGAAAATATTGTAAATTCCATAATGTTTTTGGACATTGGACTAACAATTGCATACATTTCAGGAATACGATCCAAGATGCGATTGACCAAGGAAGACTGAAATTCGAAGAAATATCGATGAAAGTGGATACGAGTCCATTCGAAGTGCAAGTGGGATATATCGAATCCCAAACGGGCATGACTGAGGATGTCCGAATGACGAATTCTACCTTTGTAGGCATGGTCAATGTTGCTGAAGACATTGATCCTAAACATGTTAGAATGGACGTGTCTGAAGAAGATATGGAATTTGATTTGAGTGAATTCGAGAAAGAGTTCGAAAAAGAGATCTACCCTCGATCAGGGGATTCCCTAATTGAGTTTTTGAATAGGAAGAAAGAAAAAGACGAGGAGGTGTCGTTATGCCCACGATGCAGTGCGGTGTTCGATAAATCGGCTGCTAAAGCTTTCAGGTTAGAACATATAAAGAAGATCGAGAGTCAGAGGGAAAATGACAAAGTGGATCAAACGGCCCGACCAATGATCGAGGAAAGTCAACAGAAATCTGTTGGTTCTGGTGTTAGCGGAAATCAAAGGCAATGGATCAGAAGAGAGATGTATCCTTCTCGAGGAGGAAAAGGCAGACTTCAGAGCCATGATGTCTTCGAGAGATTGTCATACGATGAAGAATCGAACACTGGATTCCCAAGATTCCAAAGGAGGTTCCGAGGAAGGCCCTGGAGAAGAGTAGGAAGGATCCCTTATTGGAATAATTATAGAAACTTTGAAGAGAATATTGCACCGATGGAGAGTCAATATGTAAGAGAATTCTTCAATGATAAGAATGAGGGTACTTGGGATGAGCATCAAATCGGAGTGATATCAATACTACCAGCAGAATATGTTAGTGAATATCAAGAGTACCAAGAACAGAGTGATGCCAATCGAGAAGATGACTTCTACTCAGAAAACATAAAGCCAAAGGTAACATGGGTTACACAAACATCATGTGAAGTACCTCATAGAGATGCTTCTTTTATTGATCCTCCATCTGAAGAAATGAGGTTTCACCTGAAACCCTTATTATTGAATATCGAGATACAAGGACAGATGATAAATAGAGTCCTTGTCGATGGTGGAGCAGCGGTAAACATACTGCCAATTAATATGCTAAAGAAATTTGGCATTGAACTGAAAGACTTAGTCAAACATAATATTATGATTTCCGATTTCAGTGGAAAAACATCAAGTTCGGAAGGCATGATTGCCTTGGATGTGAAAGTGGGCACTTACTCGAGGCCTACTGTGTTCGTTGTGGTCCAGTCACATGCAAATTTCAACGCATTACTTGGAAGAGAGTGGATTCATGGAGTAGGAGTCGTGCCTTCGACGGCTCATCAGAAATTATTTATGTGGAATCGAGACGGACATCTCGAGGTAATCCCAGGAGATCAGCATGAATTTGTATCATTTGTATCTCAGGCTGGTCGGGCACTCCAGAATCTGGCACTAGCTCAGCCATTCACCTTCGAAACGGTCAAAGATTTCAATTCAAAGTTACATGAGGAGCGATTCTTGGAGATGAATGAGAAGAAAGGATTTGTTATGATCAAAGAGGGGGCCAACCT